AGATGTTACAACCAAATGTTCCACCGCTCTACTCTCAATTTGTTTAACTGCCCTACTCCAGATCAGTACAGGAACACTGTTACTTTTAAAATTCACAAACGGATAAATCTTTGGCTCTTCTAGCCCATATCATGTATCTTTGCTTAAGTTTCATTCTGCTAAGCAAAGGGGAAACACATATTGTGAGGAGGAAATACGGAAAATCCCTCAGGAATATGCTTTGCCTAACAGTATCCTAAATAATAAAGTTTTATTTAACTGACAGATATTTGCATGTGTGGTATAAGAGGAGGCTTTCCATAAATATCAACACTACACTAATAGTATGCTTTGTCAAGAAGTAATTTTTCTAGTAAGTTATGAACTTAGCTGTCTTTGGTTTCTACTTAAGAGTACAGTGGGATGACAGATGAAAGAAAAGTTTGTAGGAAATGTCACCTGAGAGGAGTCTGAGGACCACCAGTAAATAATCTGCTTTAGGCAGAAGAATTATTGCAGCAAAGGCTCTGAATGTGGCTTCAGGAAATCAAGGCAACGCAGCCACAAGATGCGATGAGGACTGGTATTCAGCGATTTAAGAATTTAAGAAACCAGAAGATGGCTTATAAGGGTTTGATATGTTCCTATAAACATAAGAAAACAAGTCTTAGAAAGGTGACTGTCAGATATTTAAGAAGTGGCTCCGGTGCAAGTTAATTTCCAGCTTCATGGAATAAAGGTATTTATTTACAATATAGCAAAGGTTTACAAAGGCTAAAGTAAGAATAAAGAGGTCGTGCCAAAAATGAAGACAAATATTTTAGTCAAGAAGAATATTAAATCTCTGTTTTCACAACTACACAAGGAAATTTTGTATTTTACTCAAGTTCTTTCAGTCACATATTTAAATGAAGTTTTCATTTCTGCAGAATCATCACAACAGAAAAGCTAATTAAAAAACAAACAGCTTAGACACTTTTGACGAAACAAATTCCAACTTCATAAATATTTAAATAAAGCAAGCAAAATGCTGTTACAAACGCCAAAGATTAGGTTAATAATAATTCCTTAATCCCAGTAACTATCTGTTTGTTCTATAACAAACGTTTAGAGAGCAGAGATTCATGAATTTGGTTTCCTCACCGATTTATCTAAACTGCATCAAGAATATTAAACACATTGTTGTATGACCATTTTTCCATAAATTAAAAAATATTTTTAAAGACTGACTTGCCTCCACTCACACTGCTTAAATTCCCATATCTGCTGACTCCTAACTCAGTGCCTTCTCCACAGGAAAATATTTTTTTAAAAAATTTAACAATAATATAAAACAAAATTTAAAATAAAACAGAAGCTAAAAGCATTTCCTGAAAACTATGTTTATAACCAAGAAAATTTAGCTGTGTATAAATTCTCTACTCAGTTTTGGGGCAGATCAAGGAATTTCATGTGAAAAGTGGCACACCAATCAGTCATGGTTCCAAATATCAGAGCAGTCCTTGACTGCGAAGTTAAAACAGTTTCTGTGTACGTGGTTCAAATAGCAGAGTTTACACATTCTGGTTCCAATTGGATGATTCCAAAAACTTCGTAGGTTGACTGGTGACTAACTGTATGAGACAAATGAATAGGGCTCAGTTCAAAGTAAATAGATTTAGTTGATATGCGCCTTGGAACACATCAGGATCTGAATGGGCTAATGGAAATGAAAATTTTAAATGTCTTAGTCAGTGGTTCTCAACCTTCTGGCCCTTTAAATACAGTTCCTCATGTTGTGACCCAACCATAAAATTATTTTCGTTGCTACTTCCTAACTGTAATATTGCTACTGTTATGAATCATAATGTAAATATCTGATATGCAGGATGGTCTTAGGCGACCCCTGTGAAAGGGTCGTTCGACTGCCAAAGGGGTCGCGACCCACAGGTTGAGAACCGCTGGTTAATGATGACTCCTGCAAAATTATGAATAATATTATCTGTGGCATATATATAAACATGACAAATTTAAGTCTGAAAAGACATCAGAAGTTTGTTAGAAAAGCCTTGCCACACAGTATAAACATTAATAGGAAGCTTCAGGAAGATGGCTTTATAAGATGTTGGTTTCTCATTCCTTACAATGCCCCCTGCCAGGTTCTTTTAAAAAAAAATACATTTTTATTGATTTCAGAGAAGAAGGGAGAGGAAGAGAGAAATAGAAACATCAATCAATGATGAGAATCATCTATTAGCTGCCTCCTGCACGCGCATGCCCCCTACTGGGGATGAGACCCACAATCCAGGCATGTGCCCTGACCAGGAATCGACAGTGACCTCCTGGTTCATAGGTCGACACTCAACCACTGAGCCATGCCAGCCGGGCCCCTTCCAGGTTCTTCAGTAGAACTGGCCCACTGCTATTTAAGCTATCCATGTTCAAGAATGAGCTCTCAGCAAATCCACCCTGCCCTTCCTTCCAAAACCAGGGGTGTTTCTTCAGCTACCAGGACCACCTTTCTTCTGGATGTACCTACGACACACTGTCTTCTAGCACCAAATCATTTCAACTTCACAAGAGAGAGTTACACTATTTTCCTGTGGAGAGGGCACTGAGCTAGGAGTCAGTAGACATGAGAATTTAAGCAGTGTGACTGGAGGCCAGTCTTTCTAGGCTTCAAATTTCCTCATCTAAGATCCCTTCTAGATCAAATTTCTATAATCCTAAATCTCTCAGACATAGTCTGACTGCAGGCTGAAGCCTCTAGTTACCCCCCTTGAAATGGACAACTGGCACCTCAATGTGTGAGACTCAGAGGGAAGAGGCATGGTTGGCAGTAGCTGGAATGACCCCTTTTTTTTGATACCCCACGTGTTTTTAGAAGGAAGAGGGGTATTGGTGACAAGCCACTGGAGTCAAAAGTTGAGGTCTGTCAGTAAAGCCACTACCTCTCCCATTACTGAAGAGTTTATAACCAGGAATTTCCTGTATGTTCTCACCCTCATTCCCTCTCACACACCTCCAGCTCCTACTTCCCAGCCAACATTTCTTGGGGACCTCCATTATTTCTAATAGATCCTTAACACCAAATATGTGGGAAGGTGGGGGCTATTCTAAGTACAGTAAATGTCAACCCATCTTTTAACAATAAAATACAATTTAACCCTAAACCAGGGAGCATCTACCTATCTTCTGAACAGTTCTTTGTGCTGTTTCAGTTAAACAGAGACCTATTTACTCATCTTCGAATGACCTATTAAATTTGTTTCATGCTTTAACTACCAAACAAAGCCCACCTTTTGGGAGAAGACAGGTTAAACAGATAGGCAGATTGGCTGTCCTAGTCAAGGCTAAGTGGTCAAAATAAAAGCCACTCAAAGGTCCGTTCTTCACTCTGCTAACTCAAGCAGGATGTTAACTATTAATTATTAAATGGGTTTCTAAGTGTGTTGACAGACCGGGTGAGATGGCACTGTCTAAATGGTTCTTCTCTATCAGGGCACTTGCAATTGGATAGGATTCTCAAAGAGCCTTCACACAGGGGTTCCCTAATCCCTATCTAACTGGCAAAGTGTAACATTAGTCACTGCCAGGTTACTCAGCATTGGCAGAGTTCCTGCTGGTAGCTGAATGATTTTCAGAGGAAAATGTAAATATTACTCAAAATGTAAATATTGCTTCTACCAAATTTACCTGGCCACAAACCCAATGGCTGCCCATCTAGAGAAGTGAAGTATGTTACTCAAACTTGGTTTCTTCTTTAAAGAAAGAATTCTAAGATAAATTTTCTTCTTTAGAAACAAATTTGTGAATAATTACCTAAACTTACAGGAAAAACAAAGCTTTTCCAGTCCATATGACAATATCACATGTGCTATTTAACTGCCATATTGACCGTTTATTGACCCTCCATGTAACTCTTCAAATGTCTTCTCCAATAAAAATGTCTTGATATAAAATCACAAAATCCAAATGAGTAACCGTTCTTTCCGGCGGATCAATGTTTCCAGATTACTATTTTTTGGGTCAATTGTCATATCATCATTCTTTGAGATAACTGGAATTAAAGGTGAATCTAGATTTTTAAATTTTATTGCAGTACACATGTTTTTTCAAAGGTCCTTAAACCAAAAACTATCAGCAGTTAGCGACTCTGGGTTTAACTTTGTTGTATGATTACTTATTTCTAAGAAATAAGTTTCAGCCAATAAGATTATAAATTTAAGTGCATTTCCGTATCCATTGTCATCTCACTCCCTTCCTCAGTGGACACTGCTGACTAAGTAGCCAAGAAGGAAAGAGGAGAGATTCCTTATTGTGGGAAGAGAGAAAGGAACTAGGAGGCAGCTCTGCTGTTCAACGTTAAAACAGGAGGCTGTAGGAGAGGGGCTAAGCAGGTGAGAACCTAGTTACATGTCAGTAACTCACACTTCTTTCTCTGACTTTATGTCAAAGAAATGCTTCTGTATAGGGTTTTTAGATTTTGGGGGTAAGTCTGGTATTTTACCACACAAAAAATGAGTATCATTCAGATTCTTTAATTTCACCTTTGTAAAGCTTTTCTTTCCTCTTGATGGTTTATACTATGAGCTTAATAGGTCATATAATATTTCACACAATTGGACTTCAGAGAACATAACGTTATATAAATGCTTAAATACCACGATTGCACTACTGTGACCTTAAGGCTCCTGGGAACTGTGATGACTACAGAAATGGCTCAGCTCAGTTTCAACAGTCAGCCTCTAATTTAGTCATTTGTCTCCAAAGAATTGCCTATACTGAGAGACAGCTTAATTTTTTTAATGTAAAAGTATTTTCATAACCAAAGCTTCATATGTGAATTTTCTTACTGATCCTAGTATTTCAAAGAAATACAGATGGTAAGAATTCAAGCCCTGAATTCTTTCTCTGATATAGAAGATTGCAAATGAATAGAAAAAGCAGCTTTAAGATTCAGACATCCTTTTTCTGGAGAAAGAGATGTGAGATAATTTTTATCTTACTAAATATGGATCACAAAACATCAGTTTTTCAGTTTTCATTTATCAGTCATGATATGTATAAGAAAAACATTTATATGTAGCAACATAAAGAAACAACAAATATAAAAACTCCATTAAACTACTACATTAAACAAAGGTGAACAAAACTATACAGAATAAAAAACAACATCAATGAAAAACTTAACAATAAATACCAATACTTACACAACAAAATGGACTATTAGCACAATAAAGATAACACGCAGTCACACAGAGAGACAAAGGCCTCAACTACCAAAATACTATTTTGTCTCAATATGTCCTATTTTTGGCCTGAGAAATCACCAAACCCTAAGCAGTGGGTTTATTTTCTCCCCATCTCCCTCCCTTCCTTCCTTCATCCTCCCCTCCCTCATGCCTCCATCCTTTTCACACTGGGGTACCAGTGTAGGAAGCTCCTGGATGTGGCTAACCGGGCAGCAGCTCCTAAGGCAGCAGTGGCTGTACTTCGAGGAATGTAGAATTTCTGAGAAATCTGGTGCTCAGGAGACAAAATCAAAGAGAGCTGGTCCATGGCTCCATAGCTCTTATCTTTGAACACTGTGATAGCATGGCTACTAGAAAAATCTTCATTCTTTAGGCTCTCTGGAGAGCTTTCCACTGAAAAAGAAAGAAAGCACAAGTCTTTTCAAGGGATTCTCATACTACCTTCTCTCTCCTATTCTAGATCTCTACTGTGTGTTACAAACATCTTCTGTTAGGTGGTGATAAGAACCAATGGCAAATCAGAGAGGATAAGACTTAGAAACTAATCAACAAATGGAAAGGAAATGAGGACGAGGAATCATGCTTTGAGATAAACTTCTGTCTGGATGAGGGCAAAAAGAGAGAGAGAAAAAATGCACCCTGAACAAGAAAAGGAAATTTTCTTTCTAGGGCATCTCATATGAAACAGATTGGATATAATTCCAATTCCAGGGAAGAGTCCTGAAGTGTTCCTATTTTCTTCCCTGGGCATTGTCTATTGCCAAAGCGGTCCCAATTCCAAGTCTGTGGCAGTGTAAAAATAAAACTGATCAAGACTGTGGTTGCTATGAAGTTCTAAAAACCAGTTATTAGCTATAACATGAATTCTTTAGGAATTAGTTTCAATTAAGAAGAAAGAACCTTTTTGGTGAAGGGATTAAGCAGTAAAAATTGGTAGTTGTAGACTAATCACACAGATGTGGATTGCAGCATGGAGAATATAGTCAATGATGGTGAGATAATGAGGTGTGGGGCCAGGCAGGTGCTTAGGGCAGCAGGGACCACTCTGTAGAGTGCATGGTGTTCTGGCCACTTTGTAGTACATCTGACACTGGTGTGAAATGGTACTGAATGTAAACTGTGGTTGAAAAATTATATATATCTATATATATAAAAGCCTAAGCAACTGGCCGACCGGCTGACCATCCGGTAGCTATGACATGCACTGACCACCAGGGGGTAAGGGGTGGGCAAACTTTTTGACTCGAGGGCCACAATGGGTTCTTAAACTGGACCGGAGGGCCGGAACAAAAGCATGGATGGAGTGTTTGTGTGAACTAATATAAATTCAAAGTAAACATCATTACATAAAAGGGTACGGTCTTTTTTTTGTTTGTTTTATTCATTTCAAACGGGCTGGATCCGGCCCGCGGGCCGTAGTTGGCCCACGGCTGGGGTAGACGCTCAACGCAGGAGCTGCTGAGTGACAGCAACTTTGCAGAATGCCCTCTCGCACTCCTGGACCCCTTAGGGGATGTCAGACTGCTGGTTTCGGTCTGTGCACCGGACCTCCGACATCCCCCGAGGGGTCCCGAATTGCAAGAGGGTGCAGGCCAGGCCAAGGGACCCCACAGGTGCACAAATCCATGCGAAGGAAGGAAGGAAGGAAGGAAGGAAGGAAGGAAGGAAGGAAGGAAGGAAGGAAGGAAAGGAAGGAAAGGAAGGGCCTTTTAAATGAAATAAATTGCTGGGAACTCATATTTTTCAGAGTTCCAATATCCAAAAATGGGAATGCTAGGCATTCCCACATGTGTACTCTAGACAGTTCTACTAAAAGTAGCTGCTCTATGAAGTACTTATTACTTCCCTACCATGAGAGAAGTAGCTTTTTCCAGCATTCTGCTTCCTTTAAGAAAGCCCTGCTTTAGAAAAATAAAAATCTACGTGAGCTAGACAATGTTCTATTGTGCAGTCCACTATATCAACATTTCACACACTGGCATCAGTATGCTGACTACATTTTGAAAGCACTGCTCTATACCTTAAAAACAGAGACTTTTAAAAAAAAATCAGAGAAGCCGAAACCGGTTTGGCTCAGTGGATAGAGCGTCGGCCTGCGGATTGAAAGGTCCCAGGTTCGATTCCGGTCAAGGGCATGTACCTGGGTTGCGGGCACATCCCCAGTGGGAGATGTGCAGGAGGCAGCTGATCAATGTTTCTCTCTCATCGATGTTTCTAACTCTCTATCTCTCTCCCTTCCTCTCTGTAAAAAATCAATAAAAAATATATTTAAAAAAAAATTTAAAAAAAATCAAAAAAAAAAAAAATCAGAGAAGCCCTGTTTACTCAGTGGATAAAGTGTCAGCCTGTGGACTGAAGGGTCCCAGGTTTGATTCTGGCCACAGGCATATGCCCGGGTTGCGGGCTTGATCCCTGGTGGGGGCGTGCAGGAGGCAGCCGATCAATGATTCTCTCTCATCATTGATGTTTCTATCTCTCTGTCCCTCTCCCTTCCTCACTGAAATCAATAAAGATATATTTTTAAAAATAATAATAATTTAAAAAATCAGAGAAAATAGCAGGTATAATCCAGTATTTTATTCACTTCTGCATCTTTAGCACTAGCTACAGTAGTGGCATGTGGTATATGTTCCATACATTTCTGATTAATTAATTATATTCAAGATTTGACATGTTATTCTAAAAAGTAAAACTGCAATCATTAAAACTATAATTGATGCCCACAAGAGAGGAAAAAGATGGTGTGTTCTAATGCAATAATGTGGTTTGACAGGAGGTCTTCGGTGAGCTCAGGTTTCCAAAAGCAGGGTCACGTGATCAAAAATTTAAAAGAGCAGCAAAACTTCTGTTTCCAGACATGATGTTAATTTAACAAGGATTGAAAAACAAACTTCCTGCTTTAAACAACTGGAGAACTGAACAAAATATAGGAAAAAACAGCTTTCAGACCTGAACAACAAATGTGCAGGACAGAGATCCCGAAGAGGAGGTGAGAAAACAAAGTGAGCCCAATAAGTGCCTCAGCTCACTGGAGATGGCTTCCAGGCTGCAGTACAGGAGGAAGAATCCAAACTGAGGCTGGAGGTCTTACTGGGCTCAGAAGACCGAGTCTGGAATTTGGGAGGAAAGTATCAGAGATGGAGAGAGAAGCAGCTGGCAGTCTACGAAAGGTCCCTTTGAGTCTTAGGCCAAGCAGTGATCTGGCCACAATGTAAAATTAATAGTGTCTACCATCCAATAAAAAATTAACAGTTATGCAAAGAAGCAGAAAAAATGACCTAGTATCAGGAGAAAAATCAATCAATAGAGGCTGATTAAAAAAAATGATAGAGATACCAGAATGCAGAAATGATATATATGCTAGAATCGTAAGACAAGGGTATGACAATAGCTGTTATACGGAAATGCCAAGTTTTCAAGAAGGCAGAGGAAAAATCTGACTATGATGAGGAGAAAAAAGGAAGATATAAAAAAGATCCAAACCAAACCTCTAGGGATGAAAAACATAGTTTCTCAGATGAAAAATATATTGAATGGGAAAAGAACATATAACACATGGGACAAGAAAAAGTTAGTACACTTGAAGACATAGTAATACAATCTATCCAAAATGAAACACAGAAAGGAAAGACTGGGGAACAACATCAAGCGGTCTATCACATGTGTGATGTGAAAACGGAGTAAAAGAAGGGGGGAGGGTGATTGAAAAAACATTTAAAGAAGTAATGATTTAAATTCTTCCAAATGTAATGGAAACTATAAACTTACAGACCAAGAAGCTCAATGAACCCCAGGCAGAAGAAATAGGAAGAGAAGCACACCAAGGCACCTCATGATCAGATTGCTGCAACCAGTAATAAGAGAAAATCTCAAAGCATCCAGAGAAAAGACCACATTACAGTGGTGTCCCCCCATAACCATGAAGGATATGTCCCAAGAACTCCAGTGGATGCCTGAAACCACGAATAGTACCGAACACTATATATATATACATATATATATATGTATATATATGTATATATATGTATATATATATATATAATTATGATAAAGTTTGATTTATAAATTAGGCACATTAAGAGATCAACAACAAGAAATAATAAAATAGAATAATACTAACAACATACTATAATAAACGTTATGTGAATGTGGTGTGGGTGTGTGTGTGTGTGTGTGTGTGTGTGTGTCTTCCTCTATCTCATAACGGATCTGATAACCCAGATGGCTACTAAGTGATTAAAGGGTGGTTAATGCACATAGTGTGACTATGCTGGAGAAGAGATGACTCATATCTTGGGCATGAAGAACCAGGATGGCATAGGATTTCATCATGCTACTCAGAACAACATGCAATTTAAAACTTATGAATTATCTTTGGATAACTGAAATCATAGAAAGCAAAACCACGAATAAGGGAGGACTATTATACAGAGGAACAAAAATAAGAACAACAGACTTCTTGTTAGAAACAGTGACAAGCAGAGTGACATATTTTAATGCACTGAAAATTTGTCCACCTATAACTTTATATCCAGAAAAATAATCTTAAAGAAATTAAGGAAAAATAAAGACTTTTTGTCATGTATGAAAGCTGAGAGAATACACCAGTAGCAGACCTGTACTACAAGAAAATTTAAAGTTCTTCAAGCAAAAAAAAAAAAAGAAAAACAAAAACGGATGGAAAGTTGGATTTACAACAGGCATTGGCAAACTACAGCCGGTGGGCCAACACCAGCCTATCACTCGTTTTTTTAAATAAAGTTTTATTGGAACACAGCTATGCTCATTTATTTGCATATTATCTATGGCTTCTTTGGGGCTATATTACAGAGATGAGTATTTGCAACATAGTCCATACGGTCTGTGTAAATATGGTCTATTTACTTTCTGGCTCTTTACAGAATAGGGTTGCTGTAAAAATCAGATTTCCTAATTTACACAATAAAATAGAGAACACTAGATATAACAGACAAATGAATGAACAAAAAAGAATTTTCTCATTTTTAATTTTTTTAAAAAGAAAATTGATTGTAGCAAAAATAGTAAGAATGGAGTTTGAGACTTACAATATGTGAAGAAGTAAAATATATAACAATAGCTCAAAGGCTGGGATGGGAAAAATGGAAGTATGCTATTATAATGTTTTCATACTATACACATAACAGACACTGATCCTTATATCACACCATTTGCAAAAAATCAATGAATTGGATCACAGACCTAAATGTAAGGTCTAAAATTATAGAACTTTTCTAAGAAAATATAAGAGAAAACCTTACTTGGGTTAGCAAAGATTTCTACATAGAATGAAAAAAACAACTCAAAACTTTAAAGAAAAATAAATCAACAAATCTGACTTCACCAAAATGAAAGCTTTTGTTCTTCCCAAGATGCTAATAAGGAAATTAAAAGGCAAGCCACAAACTGGGAGACAATATTTCCCATATTATATTTGACAAAGGATTTATGTCTACAATAAAGAATATTTTACAAATCAAAAAGAAGGAGATAGTCCAATAAAAATTAGCCAAGCCCTGGCTGGTGTTGCTCAGTGGTTGGAGTGCTGGACAGCACACCAAAAGGTTTTGGGTTCGATTCCCAGTCAAAGGCACATGCCTGGGTTGCAGGTTTGCTCCCTGCCCCGATCAGGGTGCATGTGGGAGGCAACCAGTTGATGTGTCTCTCTCACATCCATGTTTCTCTCTCTTTCTCTTTCCCCTTCCTCCAGTCTCCCTTCCTTTTCTTTACTCCCTCCCTTCTACTCTCTCTGAAAAGCAATGGAAAAATATCCTCATGTGAGGATTAACAACAACAACAAAAATTAGCCAATACTTGAACAGGTGATCCACTAAAGGAGGTATAAGGATGGCACATAAGCACATGAAAAAATTGTCAAAATCACTGGCAAATGTATATTAAAACCACAATAAGATACCACTACACACCTACTAAAATGGCAAAATTTAAAAAGATTGATGATATCATGTGTTGGCAAGGATGTGGAGCAATCACAACTTTCATACGTTGCTGGTATAAATACAAAAGGTACAGCCACTTTGGAAAACATTTGGCAGTTTTTTAAAAGAATGCAGTGGCCATATGTAGTGGAATGGTGCAGCGCGTCCACTCTGAAATATGTACTAAAAAGAAATAAAAAACATTATATCTACACAAAGAGCTGTATGTGAATTTCACAGCTGCTTTATTCATAATGGCACAAACCCTGAAACAACCTAAATGGCTATCATCAGGGGAAGAGATAAACAACCTGTAGTATATCCAACACACCTGGTTACTACTCAGCGATAAACAGAAACACACTTTTGACACTAGTAACAACTTGAACGAATCTCTAAAACAGTGGTTCTCAACCTTGGCTGCACATTAGAATCACCTGGGAATCTTTTTAAAATCCTGATCTCTGGGCCTCATCCTCCGGAAATCTGTTTCTTTGTTACTAATGTTACTAATGTTACAAAGAAACAGAATTTCTGGAGGATGAGGCCCAGACATCAGGATTTTAAAAAGATTCCCAGGTGATTCTAATGTGCAGCCAAGGTTGAGAACCACTGCTCTAAAACATTTTGCTAAATGAAAGAAGTCACTTTCTTCTTCACACATAAAAATTATAAACTTGATGAAATTCTAGTAAAAGAAAAGTAACATGCCAGAAGCCAGCAAGCAGGGGGCGGGAATGACTGCACAGAAACAAGACAAAACTTCCAGATTGATGTAAACATCCCATATCACAATTGTGGTGGCAGTCATGAAGACTGTAGACATTTGTCAAAATTCGCAGAATTGTATAAACCAGAAAACTTTACTGTACGTAAACCTGACACCTCCCAGACTGCAGGAAGAAGAGAAGAGTGGCGAAGTGAAAGGGAAGAACTGAGCCCAGGACTTGAGACAAATGCTAACGTCAGCATTTTCCAATTCATGTTCTGGAAAAGATACTTTTTTTTTTTTTTTTTAGCAACGTGGTGAGTCACATTTGTCAGTTTTATGTAAACCTACCTGAACCAGAGTGTTTTTCTGGGGAATCCACCATGGTCGGGGGTGAGTCGAGTGCTGCTGCAGAGAGCTGAGCCTGCTGTGGCTGCGTCTGGATGCTGTGCAGCTCGCCCGGGCTCCCTTCTGCTGACTGCTGTGACTGGATAAGAGAGATGTAGAACTCTTCCAACTTGGGCAATGGGGAAGAAGAGGAAGAACCTTCTGAATTTGGTTGCTGCAGAATGGGAAAAAGGAGGCAAAACCATGGAAAGTAACTATTAATATAATGGAAGGATTAAGCCTGTTTTGTTTCCTTACTTATAAATAAAAAATAAATATTTTTATATCATAAATTTTAAAAATCATTTTTAAGAATCTAGATACTTTCTGGAAAAAACAAGTCCACTAACTTAGTGACCATCAAAACATTCACTGAACACATATTTTGAGCAAACATGGCACCTACCAAGCACTGCCATACACAGCTAAGGAAGAATAGCAGGAAACGAAGAGGCAGTGCTAGGTTATTTGCAAATGTTTCTTCATTTCAACATCGCAATGACCACTTTTTGGTTAGGTGTTATGTGTTTGTATTACAGAGAGCTAGAGTAAGTTATCCAATGTCAATCAATAAATGACAAGACAGAGATGTGAACTCAGTCCAGTGTGTGCTCTCTGTGCTCAACCACATCACTTTCCAGGAAGATGTGACCTAAGGAGCTCAGAGTCCTGTTAGGGAAACGGTGTGTGCTGCAGCTAGCCATGAAGATGCATTAACTGCAACACAAAGCAGTTAAATGGAGGGCTCCTCAGAAGAAGTGACACAATGGAATATTAAGAAACCATGGCTTCCAGAAACACCAATCAGAAAGGATATATGCACCCCTATGTTCATAGCAGCACAATTTACAATAGCTAAGATTTGGAAACAGCCCAAGTGCCCATCAGCAGATGAGTGGATTAAAAAACTGCGGTACATCTACACAATGGAATACTATGCCGCTATAAAAAAGAAGAAACTTTTACCATTTGCAACATCATGGATGGAACTGAAGAGCATTATGCTAAGCGAAATAAGCCAGAGAAAGATAAATATCACATGATCTCACCCATATGTGGGATATAATGATCAACATAAACTGATGAACGAAAACAGATCCAGAGACAAATGGCAGGGGTGGGGGTGAGGGTTAGAGATCAACCAAAGGACTTGTACGCATGCATATTAGCATAACCAATGAACACAGACATTGCAGCAGTAGGGGCTTGCCCTCGGGGGTGGGAGGGTGGGGAGGGTCAATGGGGGGGAAGGAGACATATGTAGAACTTTAGAAAAAAAACAAACCATGTCTTAAGAGAAAAAGACGAATGTCCCAAAGAGAGACTGAATTTGGGTTAAGTGAATGGAGTGCAAATTTTCACATACAAAACCACAAATTGTCCTGCTGTTTTCAGGAAGCTCAAAACATAGTTGAGAAACAAATGTATTTTGTTCCAGGGTTAGTGCGCCTGCCAAACAACATGAAAGAAAACAGGCCTAAATAACAGGACAGATATAGAGCTTAAAATTTACAGCTAAGTTATAAAAAAATACCTGTTTATGTATCCCTAACACAGATGCTTAATCAATCTTTTAATTTTAGGCTCAGGATTTTCTTTTTAAGTATTAAGTTCACTGAACTTTTAAAATCAACATACATTGTATGTATATGTATTCTATAAAATGCTAAGGGAGGGATCATTAACCAGAATTTTACTTTCTAAAATGAAGCACTTTCCTCATGCAAACCTGAGAAAATAACATTCATTAGACATTTACCTTTTGAGTGCTGGTTGTCCCAGTATTTTTTTCCTGAGTACCCAGTCCTTGTTTTTGAGCTTCTACTTGCATTCCATTCACAAGGCCTAAAGGCTGACATGAATCATCATCCCATGTATCTTGTGTAGAAAAACACCAATCCTACAGAGAAAAAATTGCAACAATAAACTGAGAAATAGTGATAGATGGCCCAAACAGAGGATAACTTGGCAAAGTAAAGACAAGGAATCAATGTATATTAAACAAGAAAAGGTACTTATTAATTTTCTGTATCAGTATGCCTTTTCCTCCTTTCATTATTGATTGACCCATACCCAGTATCCTGAATTCCTCTGAATACACAGATCTCATAAACACAAATGAGTTATTTGCAGTATTTTCCTCAATACTGTTTTCATGGCTAGATTTTTCATGATCATGTATTATTGAAATGGCATAAATTAGAAGGAACACCTTAACTGCAGATATTCTTTTTCATAACCGGTGGGAAATAAATGAAAATTTAAATATCTAGTTAGGACCAATATTTGCAAATGTTCTCTCACTGCTGACATCCAGAAGTTAAGACTAATTCAGCAAAAACAAAATTAGGGAAAACAGTTTACTTATAGACCCTAAGGCCCTGACCAGATGCCAATGATGAAACAAAAATCATGACTAAAAGGGCAGATAGGCACAATAAGTCCATGGTTTATTCGTCCCTACTTCATTCTATCCCCCTTCCTACCATGACTAACTACCAGGACAGGGCATCAAAAGAAAGTCAATTTTATTGTATGCTGGGTTAAAAAAGAAACTGTGTGTAAAAGAAACTGTGTATTTTTTTTAAAATTATCTTCTGATAAATCATTTTGAATTGAAGAATGTATGGCTTTCTTGAGGTGTGAACAGTTGAGTTTACATGTGCTTTTTTCAATATGATTCACTTTGTTTTCTCAAGGATCTAACCTTCTCTGGCATTTCTTTACATGACAGGTATGGCTTCTTCCCACCATGGCTGGAGGTAAGTAAGTGGGAGGCATCACCCTCTTTTCCCACTTTAGCTCGCAAAGGTAACCAGTTTTCATCCCAAACATCATCACCTATGGTCACTGACTCCAGGCATGGCATTCCAGTGGGGATCTCATCCTAGAAAGTATCGGAAGACAGAAAAGCTTTAATTTATAATTCCTATATGAGCACATTTTAAAATTCAGGTTTATAATTTTTTCTGATTCCAGGTAAAGATGGCAGTTTGAATACACAATTACTCTCTCCCTCCTGAAATATCACCAAAATAAAATAAAGAAATTTAAGGTATAAACTCATGGTCAAAGGGAACAAAAGAACAGAAAATACCATCTACATTCTGGATACAGGAAAGCAGACAAGTAACAGCTGATCAGCAGTCCTGAGACAGTGGAACCCTGAGCTTGCAGTGGAAAAACTAAGAATAAACCCAAATTTATACCACTGTTACCACAAAAGTGCAGGAATTGCCACACAAGGTGTTTTTTTAAGTAAGGGGGTAATGTGGAAAAGAAACAAAAGCACTGGTTGAAAAATGTGAGTAAGAAGCAATTAGATTCAAACAAAACTGAAACAGACTCATAGACACAGAGATCTGACTTGTGGTTGCCAGGTAGGCTGGAGTGTGAAAAAGGTAAAGGGATTAAGATTACAAATTGGTATTTATGAAACAGTCATGGGGATATAAAGTACAGCATAGGGAATATAGTCAATATTACTGCTATAACTATGTATGGTGCCAGGTGGGTACTGGAAATATCAGGGGTACCACTTTGAAAAGGATATGACTGTCTAACCCAGTGGTTCTCAACCTGTGGGTCGCGACCCCTTTGGGGATTGAATGACCCTTTCACAGGGGTCGCCTAAGACCATCGGAAAACACATATATAATTACATATTGTTTTTGTGATTAATCACTATGCTTTAATTATGTTCAATTTGTAACAATGAAATTGGGGGTCACCACAACATGAGGAACTGTATTAAAGGGTCGCGGCATTAGGAAGGTTGAGAACCACTGGTCTAACCATTATGCTGTACACCTGAAACAAATGCAAGACAATACTGAAAGTAAGTTGTGATTAAAAAATAAAAAACGCAAAAAAAAGCGGTAGTAGTTAGAGCACCAGATTCAAGGACCCCCATCTCAAGGACCCAGGAAGCTACAAGTCTTCCTCCCTCTGGAAGGCCAGAGGGTCTTCTCAAGAGTAAAACTGAGGATGGGGCACAAAACTATACATGTGTTAAAATTGACAGGACAGGGCATCAAAAGAAAGTCAATTTTATTGTACGTTGGGTTAAAAAGAAACATTAACACAAGAAAATAGAAGCTATGCAGGGAAGGAAAAGTTGCCATAACAAACTACTTGGCTGTGAAGAGCATTTACAGAGTCATAACACTGTAAATACTGAATAGTGAGCTAACAGAAAGTTTGTTAACTGTATTAGTGAGATGGTGGGGGGAGGTAAAAAGGATATGGTTATGTGTGGTCCATACATACACAGTTAACTGAAAAATCAATAAATAACATAAGCATGTTATGTAAGAAAGAAATAGAGGTAAATTCCAAAAGCAGCAGCTGAAAGAGATGAAAATGATTGCTCTGTGAAACAGGAAATGTAGGGGGAAGAGTTATGGGGGACTCGAAGCTATGTGTTCATAAACATTTGACTAAAATAAATATGTCCTCCAAAAAAGTTACCAGCATTTTTTCCTGATGCGTTTTCCTAATACTGTTTCTCAACACTAGTTTCTAATCACTGCATAATTCTTGAAGATTGCTCAAAGCTACAGGATAGTAACGGACACACCAAAGCCAGATAAGGCCCTTTTTTGTGATCAAGACTATGTTACTTCTACTTTGGTCTTGGTGACTGCTGAAGGGAGAATTTATAATTCATCTGTGGCAGATGCTCTGACTGCACTGAAGGCAACAGTAAGGTTTAAAGAGCTATTTCATTCCAGCCCCCTTCACTTATGGGTCATTTGTATTACATTAATTACATTAAAAAAATCTTTCCTTCTACCTCATTTTCTTCCTTCAGATCCTTTAGCTTAGGGATAGAACACTTTGTATCTTCTTCATAGCTCTTATCTTGAGTTTTCAAAGAGCTGAATTCAGAATCCTTTAATGGCTTCTTTGACTCAAAGTCAATGACAGCCTTTCCATCATTAATATCTTGCTAGTAGATATGAAAGATAAATTATTATTATTTTTGTTAATCCACACCTGAGGATATTTTTCCCATTGCTTTTCGGAGAGAGTGGAAGGGAGGGAGGAAGAGGGGAGAGAGAGAAACATCAACGTGAGAGAGACACATTGACACAGAGTACTGCTGCACGTACTCTGACGGGGCAGAGAGCAACACTCTAACCACTGAGCACACAAGTCAGGGTTATTTTATTTAATTTTCATACTAATGCTGTTTCCAAAAGCTATTCGGGGAGGGGAGGAATATTTTTCTGTGGTTCACACAAATGCTACATTGTTTTCTAACTTTATTCATGACCCTTGGACTTCCCATCCTGCTAAACTAGTTCACGCCAATAAACATTTATTTAGTACATATTACAAAATGTGTACAAGGTAGCTCTGTGAATTTAAAGATGAGTGCAATAGGTTCCAGCTCTAAAAGAACTCAAATATAGCAGGAAACACACAACTGGATAATCACAGTACAACCAATAGTGCAGATCCCTCTCAGTGCTAGAACTAAAATATTATCAGGGAAGGAGGATGTTTTGAGAAGATGCAATGAAGAATTTAACACAAACTGTTGGAATGCTTAAAAGAAGAGAGGAAATTACAGGGAACTTGGTGTATGTGCGTAGCATAAAAGTATTAATATGTTAAAATATAGGCTGGATGAAATAGGGAAATTTTAAGACTTCTCTCTTTTGCAGAAAAGATGGCCGTATTTCATTTCTAGGGCTGAGCTATGATTATTTGAAGACATAAACAGAGTGACGATAGTATATTCTACATATATTAAAGGTTGAATTCAATTCATTATTTAAGAATCAGGAAATATAATTGTTCTAATCAAGTAAAAATGACTAAGAAAACTTCAGGCTTAAGAAAAGTCAAACAAGCCCAATTAATTTTAACGTAAACTAGAAAGAAAAAAAGCACTTTATATTGCTTTAAACATGCAGCAATAGCCCTAGCTGGTTTGACTCAATGGATAGACTCTATCCACTGAGTGTCAGCCTGTAGACTGAAGGGTCCTAGGTTCAATTCCAGTCAAGGGCACCTGCCTGGATTGCGGGCTTGATCCCCAGTAGGGGGCATGCAGAGGCAGCCAATCAATGATCCTCTCTCATCACTGATGTTTCTATCTCTCTTCCCTCTCCCTTCCTCTCTGAAATCAATAAAAATGAATTTTAAAAAACATGCAGCAATAAACTCTCACACATATTTTTCAAAGCCAGTTAATCTCCCCAGTACTCAAATTTGCTTTTTCTTTCTCTTTTTGCAATAACTAGTGTCTACAATCATAGCCCTAACTGGTTTGGCTCAGTGGATAGAGCTTCGACCTGTGGACTGAAGGGTCCCGGGTTTGATTCTGGTCAAGGGCATGTACCTTGGTTGTGGGCACATCCCCAGTAGGGGGTGTGCAGGAGGCAGCTGATCGATGTTTCGCTCTCATCAATGTTTCTAACTCTCTATCCCTACCCCTTCCTCTCTGTAAAAAATCAGTATTTAAAAAAATACAATCATATTAATAATTTTAAAGTCACAGGTGTAAAACATAATAAAATTTTCATATTTTATTAAACGAAAATAAGTCTATTATGTCTAGAAAACCACTTTTTTGGCGCTCCAATTTGAACACACCCTATATTCTTAGCCCAGTACTTGCTGTCAGGAGGAATATAAGACTCAAAGGACGTTTATTTGTTCACTGGTTGAAAATCATTTAAGTTCTTACTATGTGCTTCACTTATATGTAAAGGGGAGATATGAAGTACCAACCTGGTAAAGTGGTTTTAAAGATAAATTAACATGTGAGTACTCACAACAGTGCCTGCCACACAGTATGAGTTCAATAAATGTTGTTTTATGTTATTACTGCTACTGGAAAAATAATAATATTTGTATTGCTGTGGGTGGGAGCTGCAAAAAGGTTTACAGAGAAATGAAAACATAAGAACACCCGAAGAAGCAGCTGAGGAGTATCAGCATTTGGGTTGGTGTAGGTGAAGTCACAATTGCACCAAGGCAGCAATGGAATTGAGTGCAGGAGAATTTGTGCAGGAGGAAGCATTACTGAAGCAAAGGCTGAAACCAGAAATTTATGAGAGGTATAGGTAACTGTCTCTCACTAGGTATTTCCTGGGTTTGGAAGCCCTCAGTTTCCTTACCTATAAAATACAATTATTATAGTAACTACGTCACAGGGACTTTATGAAGATTAATATATCATACTTCAAGTTCTGTATATAGTGTTTGGCATATAGTAAGCACTAATTAAATGTTAACAATAAAATTATAATCATATTTGCAAAAACCTATTACCGGGGTATATAAATCACTCTCTTTTGACTGTGGACTTATCTCTCGGTCTTCATTAAAATAGTGGTTCTGGGAAGGACAACCAAGTCCTGTCAAGACATCCTCTGGCCCTTCACTGGATTTAGTGTATAAAGTTAAAGGATTGAGTTCGCTGAAACCCTAGGATAAAATAAAGAAGAAAGTGTTTAATTACTCAGAGAAAAGTGAAAAAGTTAGCACTTAATAATTTTCAATTGTTGTGGAAATGTATTACTTCTAAAATTAAGAGTTAAAAATAATGAAAGTTTTTCCTAGTCAGAAAAATTCTCAACATCAATATTAACGGTAATGCAAACATTGATGCCGATAATTGCAAGATAAGAGAGTACTGTTCTTCTCTAAGTACACCTGAGAGAATTAAATACTTCAGGGTAAATTCTCAATTATTTAAAATACAAGTATTCACAGTCTAAAGGACAGGAAGCTAACTGCAGTTGTTTGTGGTCATCTGAAAATGAAGAGAGTGCTCTGCATTGAGAAGGCAGGAATCTCACAGGTATCTAAGACTAGAGAACAAATCAAATAACCTTCTGTATTAAATTCTCTTATAAATTCTCTCATACCTTGTGAGATTAAATAAAACAAATTACAAAATACTGCTCCACCTTAGAAGGGACATTTTCTCGGCATACAATAGCATGGCCCTCTGTTCTCAAGACATGATGGAAATAGACGTCTTCGTTTGAGGATGTATCACACAAAAAAATGTTAAGGATCCCATCTATGTATTCATCTACTACCCCAACTAAGGGCTTCAAACCACACAGCTTCTGGAACTGCAAAATGGCTCTGGAAGTCCAACATTCCTGAAATAGAACCAAGATATGAAATTCACATGGTAAAATCAAACATGAATTACATATAGTAAGCATATGCAAAAGTGAACTCCCAATGAACTAGAGTTGTTTTTTTTGTCTCAAAGAAATGTTTTTATTTCTTATTACATATGTCTCCTTTTTTTTCCCCCCTTGGCATTCTCCCGGCCTCCCCTACCCCCCAGTGTCTTATGTCCATTGGTTATGCTTATATGCATGCATACAAGTCCTTCGGTTGATTTCTTACCCCGCCTCCCACCCCCCAACCCTCCCCGGCCTTCCCGCTGTAGTTTGACAGTCTGTTCGATGCTGCTCTGCCTCTGTATCTATTTTTGTTCATCAGTTTATAAGGGTCTTTATTATCCATAAATGAGTGAGATCATGTGGTATTTTTCTTTCATATTTGCTTATTTCACTTAGCATAATGCTCTCCAGTTCCATCCATGCTTTTGCAAATGGCAATAATTCCTTCTTTTTTACAGCAGCATAGTATTCCACTGTGTAGATGTACCACAGTTTTCTAATCCATTCATCTACTGATGGGCACTTAGGCTGTTTCCAGGTTTTAGCTATGGTAAATTGTGCTGCTATGAACATAGGGATGCATATATCCTTTCTGATTGGTGTTTCTGGTTTCTTGGGATATATTCCTAGAAGTGGGATCACTGGGTCAAATGGGAGTTCCATTTTTAATTTTTTGAGGAAACTCCATACTGTCTTCCATAGTGGCTGCACCAGTCTGCATTCCCACCAGCAGTGCACAAGGGTTCCCTTTTCTCCGCATCCTCTCCAGCACTTGTCATTTGTTGATTTGCTGATGATACCCATTCTGACAGGTGTGAGATGGTACCTCATTGTTGTTTTGATTTGCATCTCTCGGATGATTAGTGACTTTGAGCATGTTTTCGTATGTCTCTTGGCTTTCTGAATGTCCTCTTTTGAAAAGTGTCTATTTAGGTCCTTTGCCCATTTTTTGATTGGAGTGTTTATCTTCCTTTTGTTAAGTTGTATGAGTTCCCTATAAATGTTGGAGATTAAACCCTTATCGGTGATAACATTGGCAAATATGTTCTCCCATGCAGTGGGCTTTCTTGTTGTTTTGTTGATGGTTTCCTTTGCTTTTTATTTTGATGTAGCCCCATTTATTTGTTTTCTCTTTAGTTTCCAATGCCCTAGGAGCTGTATCAGTGAAGAAATTGCTTCGGCATATGTCTGAGATTTTGTTGCCTTTGGATTCCTCTAGTATTTTTATGGTTTCCCGTCTTACATTTAAGTTCTTTATCCATTTTGAGTTTATTTTTTGTGTAAGGTGTAAGTTGGTGGTCTAGTTTCATTTTTTTGCATGTATCTGTCCAATTTTCCCAACACCATTTATTGAAGAGACTGTCTTGACTCAATTGTATGTTCTTGCCCCCTTTGTCAAATATTAATTGAGCATATTGGTTCGGGTCAATTTCTGGGTTTTCTATTCTATTCCATTGATCTATATGTCTGTTCTTGTGCCAGTACCAGGCTGTTTTGAGAACAGTGGCTTTGTAATACACCTTGATATCTGGTATTGAGAGCCCACCTACTTTGTTCTTCCTAAACTAGAGATTTTAATGGACAACACATTTGAGGATATTTATGACTTGTAGATGACAAAAGTCAGAATAAAGAAAAAATCATGAAAAATGTGATCATAGAAAAAATTTTTAAATTTTTATTTGGTGAAAGCTTTCATTTTCAGATATGATTCAGTAAGATTACTGGACCAGTCCTCTTATAAAAATAACTAAATATTCTAGATAAAATACTTTAAAAATGTGTTCAAAAATTGAAAAAAAAACTGGTAAGAAAGTAACAAAATTATCAAGCCAAAATTAAAGGGAAAATGGGAATTATTTTTGCCTTAAAGGCATCCATTAATCCAGGCAAATTTGAACTTTAGTTCTGATGTTCTCAAAGGTCAAAGGGAACAGAAATTAAATCCCATGGTAGGGAGTGGAGAGGAGAACTCTCCTCCATTCCCCTGAGTTCCTGCAGGAGTACACACTCAGGATAAGGGGGAAGAGAAATACACTGGTCTCCTTCACATGGATTTGCACCTTGATTTTCACATCACCTGGGTGGTACACAAATCCTCAAGCTGTTCATTTTAATTAACAAGGTTCCAGACTGGTAGTATTCCTAGGTGCATGGCAAAGTGAATAAATCTCTCTGTAGGTAGGCAATCTCAGCCTGTATTATTCAACCATTCTTACGAATAACTTTTCAAAGACAATGAGCAGTACATAAGCAAAGATTAAAAACATACAAAGAAACAACAAATCACAAGAACAAGAAACAACACAAGTGAAACAAACCTTAAAAAACTTTATATATTTGAGATTTTAGACGAATTATAAAACAACTAAACTTACTCTGCAGAGATTATCTATCTATAATAATAAAAGCGTAATATGCTAATTAGACCAAATGACCTTCTGGATGAAGCCGGGGCTGTGAGGGCTGAGGCAGCTCCCGTGATTGCCTCGGGCCGAGGCAAGCCACTGCAGCTGCGAGGGCCGAGCCCCTTGCATGAATTTCATGCATCAGGCCTCTCGCCAATCTACAATAACCGATCTAGCAGAATGAAAGAATTAAGAGAGCTTTAAAAATACAATAAAAATTTAAAACCTAATAGGTTAATTTTAATAGTAGATTAGACAGAATTAAATCAAAAAGTGGAAGGTAACTTGGAAAATAGTACCCAGAATGTAACATGCAAAGCACAGAAATTTGTAAAATACAAAAGAGAGGTTAAAGGACATAGACAATAAATTGAGAATAATTATGGCTCCAGAAAGAGAGAGGCAGAAACAGACAGAGGGAATATATACCTATATTAATATATGTACATACAGTCATATATATGAATTAACATATATATGAATATGGGGAAACCTAATTGAAAAGAAAATGGCTAGGAATTTTCCAGATTTAATGAAAAGTAATAAGGCACAGATTAAAACAAATCCAATGAACCACAAAAGTAGAATAAATAAGAATAAATCTATACATAAACATACTAAAACTGAAGAACACAAGCAACAAATAGGAAATCTTAAAAACAGCTACAAAAAGGACACTGGCTACAAAAGAACATCCATTAGAATGACAACTGACTTCTCAAATATGATAGGGAAACCAGAAACCAGAGCAATGATATCTTCAAGGCTGTAAAGATATTTACTGCCAAACCTAAAATTCTATACCAAGGGAATATAGCTTTCAAGAATAAACACAAAATTATATTTTCAAGTAAACAGAACTAAGTCCGCCATCATCAAACCCTCACAAAATGAAATACTAAAGGATCCAGTTCAAACGGAAGGGAACTATTCCCAGATAAAGGACATGAGTGGTGAGAATAAAGAGCTAAGAAAATGAGAAGTATGTAACTAAATCTACATGGATGTTATTATTTTATGCAGTCAATTTCTTGAGGGGTCAAAAACTATAATATTAACTACACAACAAAAATAGACCAGAAAGCCCTGACTGGTTTGACTCAGTGGATAGAGCGTCAGCCTGCGGACACAAGGGCCCCAGGTTCAATTCTGGTCAAGGGCATGTACCTTGGTTGCGGGCACATGCCGAGTTGGGGGTGTGCAGGAGGCAGCTGATCAATGTTTCTCTCCCATCGATGTTTCTAACTCTCTATCCCTCTCCCTTCCTCTATGTAAAAAAATCAATAAAATATAAAAAAAGAAAAAATAGACCAGAAAATTAGGTTAAAGAATTTAAAGTGTTCTAATATCCTTGCATTGTTATACACATATATGTTGTATTTCCTAGAATAATCACTAAAATAATATAGTGTTAACACATTGTTTGCGGGTAGTTTTTATCGCAAACTAACAGGTGGCACGGGCCATTTTTGCAGTTGAATAGATTGATTACCGTTATACCTGGAAGTACATACATAATTCACCATTGTATGTGTTAGAGACCCAAATTTTGTCCTTTGGAATTCGTATATCTGCATGTTAGCATCCCTTTAGAGCAATAAAAAAGTATAAAAATAAACGTATTTATGTTACCCGCATTCTACTGCTAGTCTATAAAAAACGTATTAATACATGTCCCGCGCTCTACTACCAGTCAACGTAAAACGTATAAATACGTTTCCCACATACAATGTGTTAATTAGGTGAATGATTTTTAAATATCTCTTCAAAATAGGGGAAGACAAGGTGAGAAAAAGAAAGACTAGATAAGCCAGTGATTTTTCAGGGCCTGGGCTCTTCCCAGAACTTGCGAAGTTTAGTAGTGACCTAATAATCTGGGCAGATTGTACACTGATTATAGAATTCACCCAATCTGTGGCTCCCTCCCTTCATGTGTGTTTCCTTTTAACTTCCAGCTGTATGCCAGTCCCAAACAATGTCCTCTAACTCTTTAAACCAGCAAGGCTGGAGATTTGGCTTCCAAGGGTAGACTGCTTTTCTGTCCCCTTTGGATTTTGTCTCTGGGAGTTAGTCCCACCATGCTATTCTGCCATTATAAATTACATTAACTTTCATCAAAACCATAAAAAAGATAGAAATAAAGTGAAATCCATTCATTTAGTTAAAGACACTAGTGACCCAGTGCACGAAATTAGTGCACATTAAAAGGGAATTAATTAGAGGAAATATTTTAATATTGCTATTTGCCCTTTCTCTATAATAGAAGTGTCAGAGATGAAAGAAAATTGGTAAAATGTATATGAAAATCTTCCTCCTGTCAGAGTCTGGGGCGCACCACAGGAACCAGAGTCAAGTCCCCACCCACCCACATGCGCCTTGAAATCGCGCGAGATCCAGACCCAGCTGGTCCCACCCCCATTTGGCTTTATCCAGACCCGGATGGCCTCACCCCCATCAAGCCCCGCCAGGTGGGGGAGCGCAGCCTCAGGTCACCTGGCCCGGCACTGGGGCAGGGGGCATGGCCTGAGGTCCCCCGGTCCGGGCCGGGGCAGAGGGCATGACTTGAGGTCCCTGTAAAGCCCCGCTGGGCAGGGGGCACAGCCTGAGGTCCCCGTCAAGCCCTGTCAGGCAGGGGGTATGGCCTGAGGTCCCCCAGCCTGGTGCCAGGGTGTGGGGCGCAGCCTCAGGTCCCCTGGCCCAGTGCCAGGGTGGGGGACGCAGCCTGAGTGCCTCCGTCAAGCTCTGCCAGGTGGAGGACGCGGCCTGAGGTCCCGTCAAGCCATGCAGGCACGGGGCACGGCCTGAGGTCCCCTGTCAAGCCCCACCAGGCCGGGGGCACAGACTCAGGTCACCTGCCCCGGCCCAGCGCCATGCAGCCTCATGTCCCTGCTGACTGCTCATTAAGGCTCGTTACGGGAATTCGGCTTCCGCTGTGGGCGCAGCCATCGTGTTATGGAATCCCTGACTTCGATGTGGGTGCAGCCATCTTGTGTTACGGAATCCCTGCCTCTGCTGTGGATGCAGCCAACTTGACCGTTATGGTATGACAGTCAATTTGCATATTCCCTCTTTATTAGATAAGACTAGAGGCCAGTTGCATGAAGAGATTTGTGCAATAGGCCTTCCCTTCCCCTGGCTGCTGGCACCAGTTTTCCTCTGGCACCCGGGACCCAGGCCTTTGCTCTGGCAGGAGCCTTCAGTCTTCGCTCTGCCGCTTCGTGCCTACGTATGCAAATTAACCGCCATCTTTGTTGGGTTAATTTGCATACTCTCCTGATTGGCTGGTGAGCGTAGCGGAGGGATGGTCAATTTACATGTTTGTCTATTATTAGATAACAAGATTTACTGAGCACAAATCATGTTCCAAGTATTGATCTATGCACTGGTGCTCTAGTGAACAAGATAATTTCCCTGACCTCAGGAGCTCATACTTTCGTATGTGAACAAATAATACCAGATAGTGTTATGAAGATAAAATAAAGTCACCATGAATGATGGAAGTGGAAAGGTGCACTTTAAAGTGGTGGGTCAAGGAAGTCCTTCTTGGGGAAATAACATTTGGGCTTAAAACTGAATGACAAAAAGGAGCCAACCATGAGAATTCTTTGCATAAACTATTCCATTGATCAGAAAGGGCAAATCCCTAAGGCCAGAAGCCCTAAGTTCAGGAAAGAAATAAGAAAACAAAGCAAAGAGAATCAGCAATGGTAGTGATCTGGCAGATATGAGAGTAATGAACATTGGCTACAAGTGGGTCACGAATGTAGTGCTGAGCTTCATGATGTAAGTCAGGGCTACAATGCACCCTTAGAAAATAATCCTGAATACTGACTTGCACAAAAATCATACACTGCATACATTATTTGTAATACTAAAAAGTCAGAAGCAGATTGAATGTCTAACAATAAAGGGATACACAGGCCATGATGCACATTTACCTAACAGATTACTGTGAGTCTATTAAAATTGAGAATTATGGTAACATCAACATATTTATGCTATAATGCCGAGTGAAAACATGAATTATGAAATAACAGGACTATTATTTTATGAAACGCTCAAGACTACAAAAATCCTCACCACAACAACCAATAAGCTAACCTGAAAGAAACATACATCAAATTTCTAAATTTAATGTGTTTAGTGGTAAAATTATACATAATGTCTTTTTCCTTTTTCTTTCCTCTTTACTGAGTTTTTTGGATTAAAAAGAATTTTAAAGGGAAAAATCCATGTATATGTAAGCAACTGATAGAGAAATATAGTATAATAATATGTATGATATGTACAACTAAGAGCTCTGAGGGAAAAACATATATAAGGTACATAAATATGACTATATAACAGTTAACAAATTTAACTACCTGGGTGAAAATGTCTCCTGCTCTCACCCCACTTCAATCATTTCCCACAAAGATATTACTAGAGAATCTTTAAAAAACATAGATTGACTGTGGCAGTTCCCCATGGATACCCTTTAGCTGCTCCCCAGCATCTAAAGGACAATGTCCAGATTCCTGAACAGGAATATGAATCCCCCTTAGGTTTCTGTCTATTTCTCTGACCATCAGTTGCCAAGCCCCAACTCCAGATCATCCTATATTACGTTGCCAAACAGAACCACTTCAAACTTCTCCAATTTGAGGTGTTTTGTGCTGTTCTCATTTTGCCTGGAATGTTTTCTCTTTTTTGTCCAGTTATAGTCTTAATCTTCCTTCATAATTCCACTCAAATACCACCTGTATTATGGGGCCTTCCCTAATTACCTTGAACAGAGATATATATTCTTCCTCATACCCCTCTACCATACACAGCAGAAATCTCTATAGCAAATATGGCACAGTAGAATTATTTTTATCTACACATCTGTCTTCTATATTTTCTACAATGATTTATTTGAGGGCTTATTCCATGTTTTATTTTTGTATCCTGAGAAACTAAATCTGTTCTTGGCATCACATGTTTTCTGATTAAGAGGAAAACAAGCAAACATACCTCTACCGGTCTCACCCAAGCCAAAGAACAAGGGATAGCCTGAGCTGGAAGCTTTGTGTAGCAGCATCTGCAATTGATAATCAAATATATTAATATTTAATCATGTTTTTATACTGCATGCTATGGAATTTCTAAGCCATTTCTTGATTTTAGCTATTCACACCATTTCAGAGTATTTTATTCATGCATTTTTAAATTAATGTCTTATACTTTAAAGCACTCTAAGAAATACTAGTAAGATCATTAAATATAGTTTTTAAAAACCATGCAAATCGGTAGGAAGAGGAAATCTTCATGCTATATAAATGCAACTCTTAGCATAACCCAAAGAAACATTTTCTTAATAGGAGGTTGAAATTCAATCTCATAGTCCACTCAGATTCACAGACATGTGGAAAAAGACACAAGAGATTATAATCCAACTGTGAACCTAAATGACCATTTGCCAAGTCTGCACTGAGAAGAAAGAGGGATGGTAAGCAAGGAAGGGTGGAGAGAGGAAGGCAAAAGAAAACAGAGGTCTCCTAACCACACAAAGCTTTAGCATTGTGATTCAAAAATTGAGTTGTCCTCCTTAAATTTGTTAACTCACTTGAGGAACCTCAAAGAGGACTTCTGAACAGTTCCAATATTTCCAAAGTCTGGGTAGAACACTTCAACTTCCTGTTTCCCGAGAACTCGATGGATAATGACTCGATACCACCACTTATCCTCAGAAATCTTTACACAACAGAGATGTCCTGGTTGGATAAAATATTCTGGCATGGCATATCGATCAGAAACCAGTTGATTAGAATAACAGCGCCTGTGGAATTCCATAACATGGAAACATAGGGGAAGAACAATTTTTATTAGTGTATCAAGAGCAAGGAAGTCTGGGCAAAAAGCAAAGAAAAACACCCTCATTTTTTCTGATTTGTTAATGCATTATTAATACCAATTAGTTTAATTTTCCTTTTTCTTTTCTAAATCCCTTCTCTTCTTCAACAAATATCTCTAAGTAGGAAACTCATACACTCATTTTGCCTCACATTCTCTGCTGAAGAATGCAATCTAACTCCATTCCCCAGGACTTCCTAAAATGGACATTGTAAAAATATCAATGGTCTGTTAATTCCCAAATCCAATAGCCTTTCTCCTCAGCTTTCAATATACTTGTTCTCTCTGCAGAATGGCCCTGATCCTTTCCTCTTTCAAATTCTATCCTACTTAGTTTCCAAGACACTCTTTTCTCCTACTACTTCCTTGTCCATAATTATTCCCTTAGTGGCTCTGTAATTGCCTTAAAAGTTTGGGTTCCACTGGGGGCTTATCTTTAGGGCGTGTAACGTACTAAAAGCTCAGGCTCTGAAACCAGTAACCTGGGTTCACACCCATCATTTACTAGCTGTGTGATGATTTTATCTTCCTGTGCTTCAGCTTACTTGCTGAAGATGGGGATGGGGATAATAAAGCCTTACTTACAATATGTGAATGTTCAGCAAAATCCAAATAGAGTAACACCCAAATATTAACTATTTATTATTACCCCTGCTGTATACCATCTCATCCATTTTTTAAATTTTTGTGGGTTTTTTTTTACTGCCTCATCCATTTTCATACCTTATACTACTACTGATAAATTGATGATTCTCCATCTCTATGTTTAGACTCTGCATCCCTTCTGCACTTTATTTTTTTAAAAATATATTTTCTTGATTTTTTACAGAGAGGAAGGGAGAGGGATAGTTAGAAACATCGATCAGCTGCCTCTTGCACGCCCCCTATTGGGGATGTGCCCGCAACGGGGGTACATGCCCTTGACCAGAATCGAACCTGGGACCCTTCAGTCTGCAGGCAGACGCTCTATGCACTGAGCCAAACCGGTTAGGGCCCTTCTGCACTTTAAAACTTTACTTCCAACTGTATGAAAAAGATGCTAGTTGTTGCCAATTTCCATTCTCCTTTTTTTTTTTTTTTGTAGAAATAGCATCCCTATTTTTTTTAAAAATTATTATTTATCCTCACTGGATGACATGTTTCATTGATTTTTATTTTTCATTTTAAAAAATTATTAATTTTTTATTGATTTCAGAAAGGAAGAGAGAGATAGAAACATCAATGATGAGAGAGAATCATTGATCGGCTGCCTCCTACATGCCCCACACTGGGATTGAGCATGTGCCCTGACCGGGAATTGAACTAAACCGTGACCTCCTGGTTCACTAATCAACGCTCAATCACTGAGCCATGGTGGTCGGGCTGTTTCATTGGTTTTTAGAGAGAGAGGGAGAGACAGAGAAACACTGATGTGAGAGAGAAACACTGATCAGCTGCTTCCCATACATGCCTATTTGGGTGTTACTATATTTGGATTTTGCTGAACATTCACATATTGTAAGTAAGGCTTTATTATCCCCATCCCCATCTTCAGCAAGTAAGCTGAAGCACACATACTAGAGTATGTGTCCTCCAGGGAATTGAGCCCATAACTTTTTGGTGTACGGGATGGCATTCCAACCAACCGAGTGACCTGGCCAGGCAATAGAATCCCTATTTTTAATTGATTTCCCAGACTCCCTTACATCTAAATGTGTCTATGTGAATACTAAGTTCTGGACAATGGGATGTGAGATTGTGAATTAATGTGTATTTTACCACAATTTTTAAAAAAGTAAAGTGTGAAAATCCATCTTGTGTCTTTCAAAGAAAAAGGGATATCTCCAACCCTCTACCTCCCCCACTCCTCCTTCCTACTGGCTGGAATGAGGATCTGGTGGTGAGCTACATCCTGGACCATGTGGGTGGGCCAATATATTATCTTGGGCAGCAAGACAGAAAACACTGTTGTCCCTAACACCTGGAGCTATCCTACCAGCATGTATTACTTATACACGAACTATTATGGGAAGAAGAAATAAACTTTTATCTTCATGCTACTACAGCTAACTTATGTCTTTGTAACACTGGCTAAACCCTAATCCTAATATTACCCACTCAACATTACCAATTCAGTATCTCATGATCACCTTAGATTCACTATTTGTAAACTTCTAACTTCCAAGCCCAGCTGAAACCTACCTAATCTCTAAAGTCAGCACAGTTTTCATATTTTCCTTTTCTCTCATCCTTTTCAACCACATTCTTGTCATCAAGACTTGACAATTCTATTTTCCTAATTTCTCTCCTCCTTTCCACTCTCTCTTTCACCAACACTAGCCTATAATGGATCTTCTCCCCTTCACTCCATCCATCCTCCACACTGCAACTAGAGTTAGCTTTCTAAAATACAAACCTGATGTTCTTTCTTTCTTAAAACCTTTAGAGGTTCCTCGCTGTATACAGAAGAAATAAAATTCTCTTCCCATAGTGTCCACACTCTATCTCTTCCCTAGCCTTCCAGTTTCACATCCAGTCATTGTCCCCCCAACCTCACCCAGTGGTGACTTCAATTCCCTATTTGTTGTTCTTAGAGCACAGGGCTCACTCCTTTGTAATGTTGGCCTTGGTGCCAGTGACTGGACCTGCACCCATCCACTCACACCTCCTTGTCTGGAAAATTGTTACTTATATTTGAGGCCTAGCTCAAGTGAATCCTTATGAAGCTCTCCTCCACCTTGCCCAGGCACAACTTCTGCCTCACACAATATCCCCCTTATCCTGCATCTATTTTCCTAGCTAATCATAGTGTCACAAAGGCAAAGACCATGACCCTCTTCTCCTTGTACAGCCAGTGCCTCAACATCCCAACACCAAGCAACAGCAGATACAGTATTAACAATAGCAGCCAACATTTGAGCTAGAGACTCTATTCTAAGTACTTCCACATTCACAACTCGGTGAGTTAAGTACTATCATTATCCCTATTTTGTAGATTAGAAGACCAGACCCAGAGAAGTAAAGTAACTTCAAAGTCACAGAGCCAGTAAGTGTGCTTTAAAATATAGGCACACTAGCCCTAACCGGTTTAGCTCAGTGGATAGAGTGTCGGCCTGCAGACTGAAGGGTCCCAGGTTCGATTCTGGTCAAGGGCATGTACCTTGGTTGCGGGCACATCCCCAGGAGGGGGTGTGCAAGAGTCAGCTGATCGATGTTTCTCTCTCATCGATGTTTCTAACTCTCTATCCCTCTCCCTTCCTCTCTGTAAAAAATCAATAAAATATAATAAAATAAAATAAAATATAGGCACACTAAAATGGACTATACAAGAATATATTTACCAAGTGATTATTATGTGACTTACATTATTCCAGGTATTCTTGGGTGGGACAAGTATATAATGTAAAATTAGAAAAAAACATTAAGTGCTTTTGAAGAGAGACAAAATAAATAATAAAAAAACACTTGTATGTGACACTAATATAAAAATTAGACATTGTTCATGAATAAATCTAAAGTGATTGAAAATGTATACATTTATATGATGTTTATTAATAAAGAACATCATTTTTCAGTAGAGAGAAGAGATAACTTAGAGCAGTAGTTCTCCAAGTATAGTTCATGAACCCCTGGAATCCTGTTAATATCGTTCAGGAAGTCCATAAGAGCAATGCTATTTTAGTATTATTATGAAAATAGTTATTTTCCCTTTTCACTGTGTTAATATCTCAACCAAAACAACATATCTCAAAACAGAAGCAGATATTAAAAAATCCAAGGTTCTTCTCTTGAGCTAGATATTAGAGAGACCTGCAAGAAAATGTAAGCCATGCCACTCTTCTCATTTACAAAAATATTTTCAAAAAAATGTTATTTATATTCACACAATTGGATTTACTAAATTTTTAAACAAAAGATATTTTTTAAATCTTGTCATTTTAATTTCTATATGATAAATATCAATAAACGAAAGCTCTCATGTGTCCTTAATTTTTAAAGAGTCCTGAAGCCAAAAGATGTGAGAAGTGCTGATTTAGAATGAGATACACCAAAAACAAGAGACTCCTACCGCATTTCAATCATCATGTCTTCAAGTAACTCTGATGAATCCCTGCTATAGATCTGGATGTAGAATTGACTAGGAGAGATGATATTCTCCACAAAGACTCCCACGAGGGTACTGGTATCTAATGGCGGCAGTCTGCATAATTTCTTGTCCCAGGCAGCATCTGGTGGGATATCATGATTGGCCATTGCCTGACTGAGCTGTGATTTATCAATTTCTACTTGCTACAAGTTAAAAAAGAAATCAAAGAAGCCACAATAAATCTTCGGGTGACATTTCAAACTTCATGACAACATTTCTCCAAGTATATTTCATGAATCACCTTTATCAGAACCACCTAGGAAATTATAAAAATGAAGATTCTTGGGCTTTAGTCCACACTTAATAATTCAGAATACCTGGAAGTGGGGCCCACAAGTATGAATTAAAAAGAACTCCCTAGGTGATTCTTACCTATGGTAAAATATGAAAACCTACTGCCTTATGATATTAGAGTTAAAAGTGTATTGCTCAACTACCCTATACAACACTAAACATGGTACTTCAAATATTCAGGTTGATTCTCATCTTGCCCAACCTTACCAACAAAGGTAACCTGAAAGAATAGATTAAATTTCAAACTAGTCTTATAATAAAAAAATAGGGTTTCTCAAACACTCATTCTAAAATATATTATTTTCCTTTAGGCCTTCCTATCGTCCTCTAGAAAACACAGCAGACTCTCCTAAAACAATGTTTTCCTTCCATGAAAGACGCAGGAATAGAGGGTAGAAAGGAAGGAGCATAAGTAATTAATTCCTTAATAACAACAGAATAAGTAATAGGAGATGAGAACACAAAAGGGGAAAATTTGTGTGGAGATGTAATGAAGGAGAAAAAAGAAAAGCTCCCTCTAACTGCGTATAGGTTGGGGTAGTCTGCAGCAGCTGCTGAGGCACACAGCTAACACAAAGCTCCTCAAGTCTTCCCTTCTAAAGCAGTCCAGGGTTTTCAAGCTTACATTTTGAAAAACCTGGACAGAGAATCAGCAATGTCATCTTAAGAGAACTGTCATATCTTCAAAGCCATCTGAAAACTTGAAAATGAGACTTGAGGGAAAGCTAGTAAAAAAAAAAAAGATTGAAAACCAGAATAAATGCTGCATAAAGTGACTTTAGACCAAAGCTCTAGTCTCTTCCAAGAAATCAAATACCCAGAAATAAGACTTTCTAAAACAGAATTTTGGTTTAAGGAAGCAGTCATCCAGTTACCCTCCATAATGCTGAATCTCCAGTGCACAAGTCTGAAAACCTCACTCACCAGCTGTAAAGGCTTCACCACCAGGTTAGGCTTCTTGTAAATTCTCTGTTCTGGCTCTTTATGATTTTTAAAAGACCAAATCCATGGGGTTTCCTTAATAGTAGCAGTAGGCAATGCATTTCTAGGGGGACTGGAGACATAAGTTTTGGCTTCTATTTTCTTATCTGATTGAACTAAATATGAACTTCTTACTGATGAAACAGCTCCATCTGAAATGACCAATAGAGTAGCTTAAGTATACCTGTTAAAATATTTTTATAACTGCTATTAAGCACATCCTATGTGCCAGGCACTGGGTAGATAGTGCTGAATAAGAGATATGAACCTGTCTTTGCAGAACTTTTCAGTATGGAGACATATAAGGGAAGTTCTAGATGGTAACAAATCTCAATTATGTTGGGGAAAGAGGTTAATTCTGATAAGGCTTCTTAAACTTTGGTGGAAGGTTTTTTAACTTTCAACATTTTTATTTCAATTTATTTCTCCTTCAACTTTAGCAGTGAACATTCGTTGTTGCTTCATGTAGCATGTCTGTGACTACTTAGTAGTCCACAATACAATGCCTTAATTTTTAGGGAATTCCCAAATAAATCACATATTTTGTTGAAATGTACATGTGTATGATGATTACAGGAGTTTGGCACATTAAAACAGACCCCAGATACATCTAAAACCATAGTGGCTCCTAAAAAATAAAATAAGTGCACAAATAAATATAATATTTATCACTGTAGTTTTTTCATAATTGACATGTCCATTAATAGGAGATTAGTTAAGTGAATTATAATAGAGTCACATAAAAGGATTATATGTAGTTAAAAAGAATGAAATCAACCTGTATATGCTGACATGGGAAAACATTCACAATATATGAAGCATAAAAAACCAGGACTAATAAAATATTTATATATATTGTCTTGTGTAAGAAAAGTTTAGATACACTATATAACTACTAGAAGCCCAATGCACAAAATTCATGCAAGAGTAGGCCTTCCTTCCCCTGGTTGCTGGCACCGCTTCCCACCAGCACCGGCTTCCCTCCAGCACCCGGGCTTCCCTCCAGCTGCCGGCAGGCACCCGGGACCCAGGCTTCTCTCACAGCCCAGGCTTCGTCCAGAAGGTCGTCCGGTCTAATGAGCATAATATGCTTATATTATTAGAGAGAGGCCCGGTGCACAAATTCGTGCACGGGTGGGGTTCAGCTGGCCCAACCCGATCAGGGCCAATAGGGTCAGGCTGGCTTGGTGGAGGGGCCGTGGGCAGTTGGCCAGGAGGCCCCGACCCCTGGTTGAACTCCTGGTCGAAGGGACAATTTGCATATTAGCCTTTTATTATACAGGATGTTATACAGAAGAAGTCCATAAGTAGACCCTCTAAAACTACTAACACTAGTTACCACCACTGCATTGTTGGAAATGTTTAAAGAAGCAAACATTATTTTTGTAATATTTTCAAAATCTAGCTATGCTTACATATACATTAAAAAAAGTCTGGCCCTACCTGGGGCTAGCTCAGTGGCTAGAGCAGCCATGGGCAAACTATGGCCCGCGGGCCAGATCCACCCGTTTGAAATGAATAAAACTAAAAAAAAAGACCGTACCCTTTTATGTAATGATGTTTACTTTGAATTTATATTAGTTCACACAAACACTCCATCCATGCTTTTGTTCCGGCCCTCCGGTCCAGTTTAAGAACCCATTGTGGCCCTCGAGTCAAAAAGTTTGCCCACCCCTGGGCTAGAGCTTCAGACCGAAGACTGAAGGTTCCTGGGTTCGATTCTGGTGAAGTGCACATACCTTAGTTGCAGGCTTGATCCCTAGCCTGTCAGGGCACATTCGGGAGGTAAGCAATTGATGTTCTCTCTCTCACATTGATGTTTCTCTCTCTGTCTCTCCTCCCTCCCTTCCACACTCTAAAATTCAATGGAAAAAATATCCTCAGATGAGGATTAATAAAAAAACAACAAAAAGGTCTGGAAGGCTACACAAAAATTCTAATAGCATTTTTGTGGGGGTAAAATAATGAGAAATGTTCACTTTTAACTTTCTACTCATCTGTGCTATTTGAATTTTTTAGAATGAACATGGGTTATTTTAATCAGAAAAATATACAAAGAAACATTGATACTTTGGGAAAAAATAGCTGTCCATTGTAACCATTTGCAGAAACTTAGCCTATCTAATAATAGACAAACATGGTAAGTTACCGTACCTTCGCTACGCTTCCCATTGGCTAATCAGCGAGATATGCAAATTAACTGCAAACAAAGATGGCAGTTAACTTGCATACATAGGCACAAAGTGGCAGCGTGAAGACTGAAGGCGGCTCCGGCCAGAGCGAAAGCCTGGGTCCCGGGTGCCGGAGAAAAACCAGTGCCGGCAGCCAGGGGAAGGGAAGGCCTATTGCACGAATCTTTTCGCGCAAGAGTCCTCTAGTCTCTATATAAAAGACTAATATGCTAAGTGTCCTTCCCACTGTCCGACCAGTTGCTATGATGCACACTGACGACCAGGGGGCAGGTGCTCAACGCAGGAGTTGCTGTGATGCACACTTGCCATTTACAGAGAAACGGCAGTAAGGGCCTGGCCAACAAAGAAACACTTGGCTGCCCCCAAGGGGGACACAGGCCTCACCACCATCCCAGAGTGATAGCCCACCAAATTGCAGCCAACGCTGCCGAGACCCCATGGCCAGCCCAGAAACGGTCACTGTGGGTGCCAGGTAATGACATCACATAGCAACACCTGGCTTCCTCTCCCTAGCAACTAGCCTCCTTGGAGTTTTTTTCAGCCAGGAACACGACTTGCTTTATACCCAGGTGGAAACATTTACACTTTTACACAAATGTCTGTGAAGCATTTTCCCATGCCTCATCTGATTTGATCCTCACAGAAGTCCTAGAGTAGGTAGACAGGAGACTTGGTAGAATCCTATTTTCTTTTCATTAGCCAGAAAACGGAGATTTAGAAAGCTTAGAAACTTGACCCAACTGAAAAGAAGTAAGAAATGGTGGACCTTGAAAATGACTTCAGGTTTTCTCACTGCACAGAATATAGTCAAACACTGCTGCAGTTAAATATTTTACCCTTTGTTCTCCCTGCGTGATCTACAATAATAACCTGCTTTGTGTTGATATTTACTGCTGTGTTGCTGGCAATTACCTGAAAGAGAACTGGGGTGCTTCACTGGGCTGGAAAAAGTTTAGCTAAGTCAGAAAGCAGGTCTAATTAAGCAAGTTTATTCTATATCTATAAAAGGCTAAGTTGACACGCATGCACGATACATATAAAGCTCTCACTGGTGCCAATCACACACGTGTGTTTCCATCTGTCATTGTTGATTGTGAATTTGGTTGACACTACTATTATAGAGAAAGGGCAGATAGCGATATTAACACATTGCGGACGTATCACACGAATTCTCATGTTTTCTGTTCTAAGGTTTGTGACCAATCATGAGAATTCTTTAAAAAGATATTAGCTTGTAAGAACATGTAATAACTTCCAAATGCAATGGGTATTTAATTTTAAAACATGCCTTTAACATTTATGTAAAACGTTTTTTGTACTCATTCAAAAGAAACTTATCTGGCCACTGGGTAAAACTAGCAATAAAACTACTGGTCTGCAATGTGTTAAAATATTTCTTCTAATTAATTTCCTTTCAATGTGCAGGAATTCATACATCAGGCCACTAGTAAAACTATAAGTACGATATCGTACTATTGGTTGGAAAGACATTACCAATGAGGGAACTGAGGAAAGAGTACATGGGATCTGCCTGCATTAGTTCTTAATAAGTGTATCTGAATCTATAGTAATGTCAATAAAAATTCCAAAAGAAAAATATTAAGCCACATTAAAAATAAAAATAAAACAAACAAAAACCAAGTGCCTTAATTGCAATGTGGTGTCCTGAAGTGGACAGAGAAATAGGAAAAGGACAATTTTTGAAAACTGGTAAAATCAGAATAAACTCTGAAGGTCAGTTAATGTAATGTACCAATACTAACTTATTAGTTTTAATAAATGTATCATGGTAATGTAAGATGTTACTATTAGGAGACACTGGATGAAGGGCATATGGGAACCCTGTACTATCACTGCAACTTTTCTGTAAACCTAAAATTATCACAAAATAAAATGTTCATTTTTAGAAAAGCACAAGTGCTGGATGCCAAGGCACACCCATTTATTCTGAATTTCCATGTATTTCTTTTTTTAAAAAAGTAAGTTAACTGATTTTAGAGGTAGAAGCAGAGAGAGGGAGAGATAGAAACATCAATGAGAGAGAAACATCAACATCTATCGGCTACTGGGGATTGAGCCTGCAACCCCAAATCGAACCGGTGCCCTTTTGGAGCAGGGGCTGATGCTCAACTACTGAGCCACACCAGGTGGGCTGAATCGCCATGTTTTTCTAAATAGCTTTTGATATACAGCCAGAGTTAAGAACTACCTAGTGCTTCCCCATCAGATCACTGTTTCAAAAACCATTTTCTTCAGAATCATCCAAAAATCTGGACAATGAAGAAAGTAAATTTTTTAAAAATCAGATAATCTTGAATAGTAATACAGGCTAGCCTATTATAACAAATATCACCAGAAATAAGGCCATTATATATAAAACATTTTCAAGGCTAATGTGTGATCTGCTTGGTTATAACAAAGAATCTTACACATACAAATAATGCTTTCGTTTTCCTTATCCTTACAGGGACAACTAAAAATCAGGTCTGCTTCATATTGTAATTAAACTCACCACGTGGTAGAGGCTTCATATCAGCATCAAACACCAGTAAGTCTTGCTCTCCTTCCCTGAACTCCACATGGAGAATGTCACTAAGAGCTCCAACGAGTTCTATCACGTTTAAGAAGCCCAATTTTTTTGGTGAAAGTTGTTCTTTAAAAATTAACTGTCATATACATACACACACACATACAAAAAAAAAAAACAGGAACAACATGAAACAGCAATGTTAGGTAACAGGAATATAATATCTACAGATACCTTGGACAGTGCTTTAATTTGGATTTAGCCAAGTTAAATCTGTAAGGATCAGTGAACTCAGGTACCACAGTAAAGGCTTGCTTCCATACAAGTCTAATACAAACCAAGAGACCTATATAATCCCTCACTATAAAACTTATAGGCCAACTATGAATATCCCAAGAAATAAAGAATTGGTTGAGGACGCAGGAAGGGTGGTGGTGAATTAAACTTAGTATCTTTACTTCTTTGTACCTTACATATGTATTATGGTTTCTTTCCCTTTTATGTTCATTAGTTACTTTAATAATTTCTCTACCTTCTCTGTAGGTATCTAGTACTATGAAAATGCAATTCAGTAAGCAAAAGGCTAGTTTACAAAGAATTTTTTAATATGAATTCTTTAAATAAATGATATTCAAAAGTCTCAGAAAGATACAGAGCAAAAAACAGTCTCCATCCCACTCCCATGCACCAGTCACCCAAGAGATCACCTCCTGGGAAGTAACCCTTTTCACCAGTTTCTTGTGCAATTTATACTACCCAATTTTATTATATATATTGTCTGTGAATTTTTGGCTTTGCTATCTGGTTTCTCTCTTCATATTTATGTGGAGCTGCAGGAAGATCCCATGACTGCACTGCTGATACATTATCTTCTCTTCAATTAGCAATCTCATAAGGGATGTTGAAAGAATGGCAGAGTGTTGACCAGGTATTTCAAGGGAAAAAAAATCATACAGGTAGCTTTTATATCATGTTGGATAAAATAAAGAGAAGGGTTGGCAGGTGTTTCTACAATTTAGAATAAAAGTTAAATTAAATCTACACTCACTATATATTTATAATCATAAAATTGAATTTCTGCCTAAGTCTATTTATTAAGAAAGGCAAAGAGCTTCTGAAACATTAAATGACTTATTTTAATTTCTCCTTAACCTTTGTAATCTTAACACCCTGAACTTTTATTACACGAAGTACATTTGCTAAAATGTTTGTGGCAGAAAACTACTCACTCTGAGCTGTGAGTCTGGCACAGGAGGTTGATTTTACCCATAAGTTTTATATTACTCTCTGACTTTATTCTGTAATTTCACTGGTAAGTGTTTACTTGTTAATCCAAAACACATCAGAGTCTTTGTTTTAGCTTCTCCCATTGGCCTACCTGAAAAACACTTTGTGGTTCTAGAAGATACATTTCTTTAAAACAAGATGAGTTTAAATTTCCTCCATCTCTATCCTGAGGGATGATATGTATTTTTTCTAAGTTTTCTTCTTTTAACATTTACTGAATAATTACTATATGGTAGGCACTGATCTAAGTACTTTATTTTTAAGTCATTTAAACTATAGCATTAGGTAATATTATCCTGACTTTACATATCATCCATAAAATAGCACAAAGCGATGTATCTTACCCATTATGCTATAGTATCTCGCAATATCTGTGTATTCATGTCTATAAATATATGTCAGTTTTTATGGCATGGTAGTTAAAAGGTAGGATTCTGAAACCAGACTGCCTGGGGTTCAAATTTTGACTCCTCCATACTCGCTATCTGGCCCTTAGGTAAGTTACTTCTTTGTGCTTCCGCTTGCTGTAAAAATCTAATGAAAGACATTCAGAGCAGAGTGCTGCACACAGCTAACATATGTATAGGTCTTAACCATTTTTTAAAATTGGCTATATGGCAATATCTGAACTATCATTCTTCAACTTGATTTTTTTTTTCACCAAACATGATGGTTCCAAAAATGTTTCAGGTTTCAGAACAAATCTACTTCATTTATTTTATCTACTACATATTATTGCATTGTATAAATGTCAATCCAAATTTATTTATCCATTCTCCTACTGATGGTCATGTAATCTGTTTCCAATTTTTTTACTATACTGCAATGTGCACATGCCTTATGAATGTCTTAATGTGCACGTGTGTAAGAGTTTTCTCTAAAGTGCGTGTGTAGAGTGTAGCTGTTGGATCAGTGGGGTGTGTATCTCAAGCTTTATTTGGTACTGCCAAAACGCTCTCCAAAGGGGATTTGTCACACAAGCAGCATAGAGGTATTTTGTATCTCTACAACCTCTCTGCTACTTGGTATTATCAGATATGAAAAATAACGTTTTTTCTAATAATATTGTAACAATAAACAGTAAAAATATCCTTCCTATGCATCATGAATTATTTATTAAAAATCATATTCTTAACTCTCTTAGTAAAGAAAAGGACATCAGAAATCAAAACAAGATGTTTAAGTTCTAGAGCATAGCCTTGGAGGGTCCAAGTAGCAGCAACAAAATTTCTATCCATCAGGAAAACATAAGCTATAAAAAAACCATGGCTGATGAAAAAGGAAACACTCACCTCAAACTCCCTAAGCAGTTTAGAAATAAGTAAACCCTCTGGAAACCTGGACACAACCTAATAAATAGAAAATGAAATATAATATAAATAGTTACCATTAGAGTGTTGGGTGATAAAATATAAGACAGTATAAATGTAAATATTACCAAAGATAAAAGCAGCATGTTACTGAGTGAATGAAACAGTCACAATATTTTTCAGTTTCCAGTTTTAAAAAACATTATAACAACAAAAAGCAGTGACTTCCAACATTTCCAGAGTTGAGAAATCATTCTTGCACAACATTGCAATTCCACAGCTCTCCACAAATTCCTATCAGTTCTTTAGCCTAGATAGCATACCACTAGTTCACATTTTTAAAAAATCTAAAAAAAAAAAATTCTATAGCATAAGTTCAAGCATTTTAAATGGTAGAAAAGAAATACAATGGTCATTATAAAAAACTTTGAAAAATACAGTACAGAGAAAATATCCAGTTAGCCATTATTGTCTATGTATACATAAAATACCTATATTTAACATAAAATAGGTCATTATTTCTATAATCAGTTTTTAAATATCAAACCAAACACATCTTACCATGTCAGTAAATATGCATCAACATGTTTCTGGCTTGAGTTTTCAAAATATTCAATATACTTAAATTTGTTTGCTCAATCCCCTAGAGCTATTTCCTATTTTTCATAACCACAAACACTGAAGTAATTATCCTCATAGTTGCACCTTATGGACTTGTCCAGTAATTTTTTTAGGATAAATTCCTAGAAATGGATTCAGTCTATCCCAATAAAGTATAAAAAGTTTTGCACTGGCCATGGCCAGGTAGCTCAGTTGGTTAGTGTTGTCCTGATACTCCAAGATTTCGGGTTTGATCCCCGGTCAGGGCATATACAAGAATCAATCAATGAATGCATAAGTAAGTGGAAGAGCAAATCAATGTTTCTCTCTCTATATATATATATATCTTTCATCTTTCTCCTTAAAAAATCAATAACATTTTTTAAAGCTTTGGATTTTCCTAGATTTTTCAAGATACTATATATTTTATTTAAATTTTTAATTCAAGTTTCAGAAAAATGCAAAGTAGAAATGATTATAAAATCCTATGATTCAGAGATAGTTGTTGATGCATTTCAGAAACCAACTTATGCAAAAACATATTCACATTATTTATGATTTACATTAAAGGATAACACTAAACATGTCACTCTATAAAATCTGTTTTTAGAGTCCAACAATATGTCAAGGAGATAATTCCATGTAAATTAATTGAGATACACATAAAAACTTTCTTATGAGCCACATGATATTCCCTAGTTTGGGTGGATAATTTAACCAATCCTTTATCAATGAATGCTTACTATTTCTCTAATATTTTGTTACCATAAAGAAGTCATATTGAACAAATGTCCAAACAAGAAGACAGGGCCTCAATGCCCGAAAGTTTTTGCATTTCTCCTAGTAAAACCACACAGCTCAAATGAAAGTAAGGCAGAAAGAGTCACAATGGCACTCTGATTATTCAGATTACAATTAACAGCTACCACCAAAATTTTAGGTGTACAAAGAACTTTTACAAGTTAATAAGGAGAAACAATAAATTAGGCCAAAGACATAAGAAATATAAATGACTACTAAGCATATGAAAACATGCTCAATGTAAAAATCAAGAGGTATAAGTTAAAACAACATAATTAGACAGTAACATTTCCCTGTCAGTAGGAGTGAAAATCTGTTCAAACCTTTTAGAGGGAAAAGTAGTAATATTTATCGAACTTAATCAATACCTCTGTCAATTCCACTTCTAGATAAATGTTCAGACATTAACTACAGCATTTTTTAATAGCCAAGGCTAGAAATAACCCAAATGTTAATCAATAACAAATTTCATTAAAGTGAAATATTGTATACCAACACGATGGGATACCATACACAATTTAGAATAATATTTGACATAAATATATAGAAAACTGGTATTGGAAAGAACTTGACAATGATTCATTAGGGTAAGGGGAAGAAAACTGGGAAGAGAGCACATTTATGAAGGAACTTAACATTTTCTAAAGAATTTTTAAAAAAATTTTAAGACTCTGTAATTTATTTAGTTTTTTTCTGATCTTAAATGAATAGCCACTCCATTTGCAATATATTTGAAAAGATCAGGCATAAATATAAATATAAAACTAAGAAATACTCTTAAGCAAATTAACTTGGCCACAAATGATATCTAATTGTATAATCAAGTATTCTTATCCATTTTCCAGAAACAGAAAATACTTACAAATTTTATTTTATGCTTTAGTTCTGGATTAATAGTCCCACCAGGTCCAATCTGTGCAATAACTGATTTGAAGGTGTTCTCCAACTATGAAAAAGAAATAAAAGTTCAAGTTATAGTAAAAAAAAAAAAAAAAGTCAAAGATAAATCTGAATAATATGCAAAGGAAATATCTATCAAAGGAAATGTATTTCAATCAAATGGATAAAAAACTGTTCTCAAGAGTCACTGTAACATTTAATACATACAAAATACATTTATAGTAGGTAAAATATTTATTAAAACTAAATATTCTTAAACTTTCCAGAGAATTAACATTCTCTATAACAATTAGATTCTAGAGTCTTCAATTACTCAATCTCATACTCTTACCCAGAAAAAAATTTTGTTACCAATTTTCTTCTCTTTATAAAAGTATTCAATGTTTATTAAACACACACTTAGTGTTTGCCTAATGCAGGGAAGAGATGGGATGGTGAAAGGTCCCTGGGAGGCAGGATTCCGTGTGAGCCAGGGCACTGGTGGAATGACTGGCCATAAAGGGCAGAAGGAAAAGCTCTTCTGTTGAAATAGAAATGAAGGAGGAAAGAACCAATAGGGATGCAGAAAGATCTGTGAATGTGGGATGAGAAAATAGACTATCTAGTGTATTCTGAGTTTAGAAGCAAGGCTCCCTAAGGAAAGAGGGAAAGGGGAGGAAATTCACAAAGCTGAGCAAGTGGAAAAATAATGTTAAGGAAATAACGGATGATTGAGAGTAAAGACAGGAGCGGCCCAAGTTAAGACAGCAGGGATCTGAGGATTTTAGCAGAGAGAAGCCAATGGCAAAGGGAGACCCCAATAAAGTAAAAAAATGAAGAGACTATTGCCGAGAAGTGGTAGAGAGGGCAATGAAGGTAGAAGGAACTTCATGAACAAAGAAAAAAAGAATAGTTTTCCTGAAGGCATTAGAAAAGTAGTAGAAGAGGAAACTGAAAAAGGTAGACTCAAGTCATATTACAGAATATGCCAAATGAAGTTTTTCTTAGTTACATAAACAAAAACTGATACAGAGATTTTTAGCAAGAGAGAGACATTATCAGAATTTTAATCTGGCAGAAAATTAGATTTGGAGGGATGAGCAATCAGGAGACTAGGGTGCTAAGAGGGTAAGAACAGAAACAGGAGATAATATAAAGGCGCAACCCACAGAAATTAGGAAAGAATACAATGGAGAAGGAATTGCTGATCCTACAGGGATGAATAAGAGACCAAGGAAAAAGACTCAGAGACCTCAAGTTTTGTGCAGAAAGCTAAAGGACCTTGGACATAAAGGTAGGTTTTTGCTGTTTTTTGCTCAATTTCAAGAATTTGGAAATCGGGGGAGTAAATGGAAGGATACTGAATACAAATGTGATTCATTTCTATGAAGAACGGCTGGTTACAGGGTCAGCAAACTATGACCCATGGGTCAAAACTGGCCCACCATTTGTCTTTGCATAGTCCATGAACTAAGAATGGTTTTGACATTTTTAAATGGGGGGAGGGTAAAAAAGAATATTTTGTGACACATGAAAATGATACAAAATTCAAATTTCAGTATCCATCAATAAAGTTTTATTGGAACACAGACTCACTCACTATTAGCCAAAGTTATTTCAGCACTACAAGGGCAGAGTTGGATAATTACAACAGAGACAATTTGGCCCTCAAAGCCTCAACTATGTACTATGTGGCCTTTTAGAGAAAATGTTTTCCAAGCCTGGTTTCAAGATGTCAAAATGATGGGCTCTTACTAGGAAAAGAATGCTTCTCAAGAAGATGAATATGGTTTTTTGCCTCAAATTAAGAGACTTAAAATGAATGGAGTGAGGGAGATTTTTTAAAGTCCAGGTAATCTTGAGGATATCTATAATTAGAGGGTAGAAGTTATAATGTGGGGGAATGTAAGAACAGGAGGTGATCAGTGATTGACATAAGGAAAGGAATCAAGAGGGTCCCTGATTTCACAATGCCCATATACAAAATACAAAGAATGGGCAATAAATCAAATGAACAAAAGATTACAACACAGGGGCATACATAAAGATGTAAACTGACTCTCCCCCACCCCCTTCCAAAGCCATATTCAGATAGGAACCTACAGGATCACAGAAAAGGCAGAAAAGAGCTTTGAATCAAAGATTTATATTCCTCAAAAAATAGATAAAAATTAATAGGCAATTGATAAAAATTAACACTAAATAGATAATAAAAGCATAAAGTTTAACCTCTAATAATCAGACAGTAATAGTTATTTACCAATCAAATTGGAAAATTATTTTTACAAAAGAAATATGCACTTTCACTCTTTAATATTTTTTCTGAAATTTTCAATCAGTAAATAAATTTAGAAAATAAAAATGAGAACTTTACATACTGAAAAAGACAAAGGAAAATCATTTATAAACATTATTATGGTGTATTTGGAAAACCTATGAGAAAATGATTAAACAAGTTCAAAGTTCAGTAAGGTGGCCAGTTTCAAAATAATATTTCAAAAAACGAATTTCTTTCCTCATAAGCCTTAAGTAGTTAGAACCCCATTCTCAATAGCAACAGAAGTGTCACACTACACAATACCTAAGAATATACTTACAAGAAATGCACCAAACTCTAATAAAGAAAACTATACATCTGCAATGAAGAGCATAAGATAATTCTGAATGAATAGAAAGCTGCATATGTTATTGAATAAATCTATTAAATGTAATGTATGGAGTCTTCAAATTTTTAAAAATTTAATTCGAAGAGAAATCTCATTGAAATCTTAGAATTTACAAAAATAATTATAAACTTCCAGGAAAAAATACATTAGAATAGATAAAAAGTCTGAAAAGGGACTAACTAGGGAAGACTTGCCCTAACAAAATTAAGGTGAATTTAAAAGCACCAAAATAGAACTGGCACAGAAACACACTCCCCCAAAATTATAATCCAGCTAGATTAAAACTTGATCCATACCAGGTACCTTATACAACAAAAAACTTGAAATCAATAATAGACCTAAGAACTAAAATCATAAAACTTCTAAAAGAAAACACAGGAGAACATTTTGTAACTTTGTATTAAGCAAAGGTCTATTATGTAGGCAAGAATCAAAAGAAAAATGTAAATTCAATTTCATCAAAAATACAGACTTTTCCACAAAAATCAGATTAAAGAAATGAAGAGACAAGCATAGACCAAAGAAAATATTTCTCTGATAAAGGACTATGTCTAAATTATATAAATAATTCTTCCAACTCAATACAAAGACTACTTATTTTTCAGATTGAGCAAAAATATGAATAGACACTTCAAAGAAGATATACAAATGGAAAATACTCGTATAAAAATATGCCCAGCATTATTCATCATTAGAGAAATTTCAATTAAAACTAATGAGATCCCATCATACACCCACTGAAATGGCTAATAGTTTAAAAACTGACAATATCAAATGTTAACAAAGCTGCAATGTAGCTCATGAGAAAGTAAAATTGTACAATTTAGAAAACAGTTTGGCAATTTCTTATAAAGTTCTTAAATGCACACTTAGTGTATGAGCCAACAATCCTACTCCCAGGTATTTACTCAAGAGAAATGAAGTCTATATTTATACAAAGTGTATGTAAATGTTGATAGCAGATTTATTCATAATACCCCCAAACAGGAAATAACATCTAACTGAAGTATATCAATACAGTGGAATGATATTCAGCAAGAGAAAGGAACAAACGACTGATATATGCTGGATGAATTTCAAAAGCATCATGCTAAGTTAAAGAAGATAAACACTAAAGGCTAGATGTTATTTAATTCCATTTATGTGAAACTCCTGGGAAGTCAAAATTACAGTTATAGAAAGCAGTAACTGTCTGTAGCTGCAGGCGGAGAAAGAGATTAACTACAAAGTGGCATGGAGGAACTTTGGGGGGATGATGGAAATGTTCTGTTTCTTGATTTTTATGGTTCTTAATGACTAGATACGTTGTCAAAACTCAAACTGTCCATTTAAAATGTGTAAATTTTATTATATATGTTACTAAAGCTAGTATTTTAAGTTACAGAAATAAGGCACTTTTATGTTTCAAATTTAATTTTCATATGCTTATTCTCAGCTCAACTTGTTATCTTGCTAACTTAACCAGGCCTTTGTTGATTATATTTTAATAGTTTTTATTCAAAGTCCTTCAGCATTATAGTCACACACAAATACCACGATTGTAGTGCTCAGGGGCCAGCCATTCAGGTGAAGATATTCCTGAGGTAAGCTGTAAATATGCTTCTATAACTTTGGTGAAAAGCTGGAACTAGAGATACAGACCTGGGAATCATCTGCAGAAAATAGTAGAAACCCTGGAGTTGACAAAATTGTGCTCTTTTCTCACTGTCACTTCATTTCTTATAATCCAGCGAACCATAGGAAATGCTTAAGTTACATCTGAAATTAGTGAATGACTTGAATTTTAAAAGACCAGTTTTTCCATCAGATATAAGTAATAACCACTGAATTTAAACACATTTTCAGTGTATTTATATCTCCAAACTCCAGTATCTCACCTGGTTTAATTTTTCAGTGTGATTCAGCCTTGAAGTCTCCACTACATTTGACTTGGTCTTTTCCATGTTCCATATTTGCTTCAATGGCTCCATGTTTGAAGTGGGTCGTGAAAAGCGTGTCTTTGCTATTGGGAAACTTGGAGAGTATGATCCTTCTTGTTTCATTCTAAAAGGCTGGGTAAAAATTTTACCTTTTGTGAATAAAAGGAGAGAAAAATTGTCACTAGACATTTCTAGTTTATCTTCTGGTGATTATATACGAGGCTACCGTGAGCTAAATTGCCCTCAATTTAGAACTAAAAATTAATGCAAGTAAGCTTACATTTTAAACATTAAGTCAATAAAATGTACACGTAATGGAAGTGATCAGTCATCAATAGAAGAAAACCAAGAGATCCTAAATGTGTTACTGAAAAAAGGGACATCTAAAACTCCACTTAAGGCAGCAGCTCTCAACCTGTGGGTTGCCAACCTGTGGGTCGTGACCCCTTTGGGGGTCGAATGACCCTTTCACAGGGGTCACCTAAGACCATTGGAAAACACATATATAATTACACATTGTTTTTGTGATTAATCACTATGCTTTAATTATGTTCAATTTGTAACAATGAAAATACATCCTGCATATCAGATATTTACATTATAATTCATAACAGTAGCAAAATTACAGTTATGAAGTAGCAATAAAAATAATTTTATGGTTGGGGGTCACCACAACATGAGGAACTGTATTAAAGGGTCGCGGCATTAGGAAGGTTGAAAACCACTTGTCTAGAGAAACACTATACAAATGATTATACTGGTTTCTGAGCCTTTGAGAATGACAGTGATTGGAAAGGAAAAACAATGAAGGAGCAATAATAAGAACTGGGTTTCTAACCTGGCTCTACCACTTTTCCAACCATGTGACTTTGGAAAAGTCATTAGGCTTTCCTGAGCTTTGGTATCCTTATCCTTTGGGATACTCACACTACTTGTCTATGGTATAGCAATGACAACCCAAGGTCAAATGCTATACAAATAAGGTGGTTATCATTACACTACATAAATTAATGTAGTGCCTGCTATGACATCAAAGATCAATGATGGCAAAGATCAGATGGCAAATACTACTAACTAGTATGATTTTTAAAACTTCATTTTCCATGTTTCATCTTCTTTACATGAACACATAGAACTAATGTTCATTTACAGTGAGAGAGCTAATTTTGTGTTTTTATAATAGACTAGAGGCCCAATGCATGAAATTTGTGCAAGAGTAGGCCTTCCTTCCCCCGGCTGCTAGCACCGGCTTCTCTCTGGCACCCAGGACCCGGGCTTTCCTCTGGCCCTGGCTTCATCCGGAAGAATGTCTGGTCTAATTAGCATATTACCCTTTTATTATTATAGATACTACTTCTTATGACCTTACCAAATGCCAGGCACTTTACAGACCTCATCTCATTTCATCCTCAGCACAATTCCAAGGTGCAAGTATTATTACTTCTAGAGATGAGGAAACTAATGCTTAGATGTTTTAAGTAACATGCTTGACATCACCCAGCTAGTCAATGACAGAGCCAACATTTAACTTCAACAAATTGGTGGAGCTTAGCCATTACATGCCTCTTTCTGTGTCACGAGTGCTCCGAAATTTGTTCATCCACAATAGTTACCAATGCTAGCATGCTTACCTGCTGGCCACCCTCTCTGCTTTTCTTCTGATATGCTCTTCTTTAACGTCAACAAAGAACCTGCTCTGGTCTGCTCTACAGAAATAACATCTGAAGCCGCATTCAGCACTTCAAACATGGACAGGAACCCATATTGCATGTACTGGAATGATCGTCCAAATCGCTTGGCAAATGCCTTTTCGAAATCAGACAGGAGAACAGGAGATAATGCCAGGAGGTCCTTCAACTCACTCTTCACAACAGCTGGAAGGATAGGGGGCACCCTTCCTCGGTAAGGTACTCGGTGGTGAAAGCTTGGCCCAGAGCAAACACTGGCCCTTCCCTTCTGCATGGAGTTTCGAACCTTATGACTGCTCCTCTGTTTTGCAACTAAACTTGCGATTCCTCTGGTGGATTCATCTGGAATGGCTGAAGAGATGAACAAAGAAATCATATGTAGGTGAAAACTTACTCCCTTCGTTATCCTTTTTATCTGTGTTGTATAGTCATTTTTTTAACTCTCTGTGTAGATGTGTCTCTGGATAGCATGATAAATATGAACCCCTGGTTCTTCTATTTTTTGCATTTTGGACAACAGCTTATTAGTTCCTCTACCAGAGGATGAAGAGAGAAAGGTAAAATCCAGAATGTCATTATTACTGCTAATTGACTCCTTGAAAGGTTTGAAAATCTTGAGATGAACAACAAACTTCCCCTTGATTTTGTATGTGTGTGTGTGCTATGTGGAATTAAAAAATATGATTTTATAATTTTAAAAAAGTCCCATTGCTATGCTTCTCCCAACAAAAGGGGCCATCATCTGAAATCATATGCAAAAATGCAGTTTTTGTCAATGTACATTTTTTTGGGGGGGGAAGGTTTCTTAATTTTGTGAAAGCCCTAACTTAGCCCACAACCTCAAAGGTAGCTGCCTATGATCACCTCCTCCCTAACACCCCCCTCGCCGCCCCCCAAATGAAAACACCCTGCCTAAGATGCAGGATCACGGCTAAAACTTTACGACGTGGTTACTGATTACAAAGTTTACCTTTCAGTATGACAGTCCCATCCCCGCAGGGGCAGACACTGACAACATCAGGCATGTCCAACACCAGCTCCATGGTGGACCGGTACCCAAGGACTCGCAGGGGCAAGTGGTTGCCAACCATCAACAGGTACTCCTTTTCCAGCTGCTGTGGGGTCAAACCGTCTTTGGTGGAAATGAGAAGCGACCTTATCTCTTTCCTCAGGCATTCCAGGATGCGCTCCTGCTCAGACATGGCACCCTTCGGGATTTAAGCCAGAAACACGGCCCTTAAGCTTAAAACGACCAATAAGTGAAATACAAACAAGGGAGTTTTACAAGTGTTGAAGGCAGCCCTGACCAGTTTGGCTCGGTGGCTAGAGCATCGGCCTGTGGACTCAAGGGTCCCAGGTTCGATTCCGGCCAAGGGCATGTACCTTGGTTGTGGGCACATCCCCAGTAGAGGGTGTGCAGAAGGCAGCTGATCGATGTTTCTAACTCTCTATCCCTCTCCCTTCCTCTCTGTAAAAAATCAATAAAGTATATATTTTTTAAAAAAATGTCGAAGGCAGAGGCAACATCATGGGACGCCTCTGAAACTTGCGCTTCGCCAAGCCAGGACCCCCCTCCCCCACCCGCAACTCAAACTCAAAGTCTCAATAAACCTCCAACAGGGTTTTCACCCACGTGTGTCTCCAGGAATCTCTGCCAGTGGCCCCTGTGTGCGAGGTCCGAGTTCTGCAGCCTTAACTCGGGTCTCCCTAGAGTCCATCCACTCGGAATGGACGCTGGGAACCAGGACTGGGAACGAGGCCCACGCCACGCCGCCTGCCCTCGGGATAAAGACACTCTCACCCCGGACACTTTCTCCAGCCCAGACCCTCCAGGGGCTCCCGCTGCCTCTCACCGACTCCCCGGCGCCCGCCCCGTCCCACTCCGCGGGGTGAGCGGGCCCCTTCCCCGCCCCCAACGTCTCACGGACCCTGGCGCGCGGGCAGCGCTCCTTCCACCTGTTCGGGGCTGCGCACCACCAGGGCGCAGAGGCCCCGGGAGGGGCAGGAGGACCCCCCTCCGCAGCCTGGCCTCGAGTGGCCGCCACTCACCCGTCTGGCCCCGGCGCTGCCGCCGTTGTGGGCGCGCAGGGTCCGAGGCGCTGGGTCCGACGGAAGAGCGCGCTGGAGGCGGCCCGCGCGCTGCGCGCCTGCGCACCGCAGCCCCACGGACGCCGCCGCCGCTCCGGCGCCACGTGCCAGCCCGAGGGCGCGCGCCCCGGGGACGGTTGGGCAGGGCTGACCGCTCCAGGGTCCGATCCGGGGCCTGCCCCAGTGGCGGGGCCGCTAGGACCGACTCCCAGGAGCGTCATGGCTGCCTTCTGGGGTGGCCGGGGCCTACCTTCTTGGACGTGGTTGCTAGATGCAAGGTGGGAATGAGAACCTCTCCAACTGCCGCCGTCCTGCCCTGGGGCCGGGCAGCCGGAAGGAGAAGGTGCAGAGGTTTAACCCTGGGTGGGCCTCAGAATCACCGGTGGGGCTTGTTTAAGAGGGGCGGGGAGTGCGGGGTGGGGGTGGGGGGTGTGCGGGGAAGATGTCCGGGTCTGATCAGCAGATGCTGATTCAGTGGGTGCAGGTCTGTTAGGGATAATCGCAGGCAATTTTGATGCTTCGGGGAGAATCGCTGCAGAGCTAGAGGAATGCCCGGGGTGAGGAGGGCTTCCTGAATGAGGGAACATTCCAGGTGCCACTAGGGATAAAGGAGTTGGGAAACTAAAGATGAAGATGTACTTGGGAAACTAACCTAGGGATGCATTTATTGGATAGGTGGAATGAGCCAGATTTACTAGTATAAGGTCCTTGAAAACCAGAAAAGAGTAGAATAGAGAGGCATAACCTATTACCTTAAAATGGAAAGATAACCAAGGAATTTGAATCAAGAAGGAAATCTGAGCACACACATGTACCTTACCTTCTATCAAAAATTCCAGAGCATAATAAATCCAAAAGAAACCCCAGAGAACAAACTGTTCCATGAATGAGCCAGGAATATTGAAGAATCCCTTAAAGACAGAAAATAGGAATGATGAAATGATGAGCTGGTATACAGCAGAATGGATAGAGCTAAATAGCAAATAAAAAGAAAAATGATGAGATGGGAAGAATGGATCCAGACATTGCAACATCTGAATGACAGGTGTTACAGAAACAACAGAGAATGGTGGTGAGGGTTGGGGATTTAAAAAGAAGAAAATGTCCCAGATTTGAAGAAAAAGACAAATTTTCAAATTAAAAGGACCCACTAAGTCCTTGGAATACTAGAAACTAATGAAATAGGTTACCTATAAAGCAATGGAAATTAGATTGCCATTGGGTTTCTCAAATGACGCAATATTTTCAAAGCTGAAACTGAAATCCTATATCCAGCCAATTCCATATTGAAGTGGGAGAAAAGACATTCTCAGCTATGCGAGGATTCAGAAAATTTATCATCTCACTGGAGAATGACTACTGCGAAATGAATTGGGAAAAACAACATTACCCCAGATTCTCATCCCCAATCATCTGAGATAACAGGTAACACATATCGAACATTTACTACATGCTCTTTACATAAATTATCTAATTTCCCAGTTACACTGTGGGAAGATACAATTATGATCCCCATTTGAAAGTGAAGAGACTGATGTACAGACATAAACTAGGATATAACAAAAAGTGATAGGCAATAAACTTACCTTGAAAAAAGATAAGTTTTTTCAAACTTATGCTTGGAAAAAAAGAGGATTTTCAAAAAAAAAAAAAAAAAAAGATTTTCTGGAGCTAAATCCCAGATCAATAACCGCAAACCAAGTGTCAGGGTAGTTTGGGTTGCTTCAATAAGAAGACCCCATTTGGAAGAGGCCCTGCAATTGGAGCCCTCACTTGGGTTTACCATAATGCACTGTCATTCATTCTCCATGACCGGCAGTCTTTTGTGGTGACTGACCTGGGAAATGAATGGGAATGAGGTGGGAACGGTCACACCGGCATCTTTCACACCGTTGATGGTCACACCTCTGCAATTCTTCAGGTATGTGGTAATGCTTTTGGTGTATTATTTTGGCACTCCGGTTGGCATTTTCTACCAGAATAGCCCTTACTCAATGAGTGAACTCGGCAATGAAGAAATTCTGTCAGTTGCTAAGATGACCTATTTTAGCTATTCACTTGTCAAGTAGGGTACATAACCATAAGATGCATTCAGTACCACCAGCCCTACCCAAAGGTGAACTTGGGCCAGAATTCAGTTATCACCTAACCCCTATATAAGCTCAGAATGTGGATGGCAAACCATGACATTTTGGTACCAGAAATTAGTGATAGTCTGTGAGCAGTTTGGGTACTTTCTTCTCTCCAGAGCAGTTATCCATAAGGGATCACACAAGGTCTTTGGGGAAAGGCTGGGACAAAAGTTTGTAGTACTGAGGTGTTTTAGCAACATCCTTCTTTAAGAATATCTGGGCTACGCTCAAGAGGCTCTGGGTCTGGGATCTGAGTTAGCTCTGTGAATGGGGTGACAAGTCATGTCGCTCACTCTTGAGATGCCTTGGTTCCTAGACCTAGAATTGTGTTTTCTTGGGTTTTTTGCTTTTTGTTGTTACACTGAGTTAAGTTCATTCCTTGGATCCTACAATTAACCACAACCAGAGAGCTCTGTGAGTCAAGAGTCAAGACCAGGGGACCTCAAACTTTTTAAACAGGGGGCCAGTTCACTGTCCCTCAGACCATTGGAGGGCCGGACTATAGTTTAAAAAAAAAACTATGAACAAATTCCTATGCACACTGTACATATCTTATTTTGAAGTAAAAAAACAAAATGGGAACAAATACAATATTTGTATTTGCATGTGGCCCGCGGGCCGTAGTTTGAGGACCCCTGATCAAGACCATCGTGTTTTCCACCCTGCTGCCTATATGATGACTAGAGCCCATTTTCTTCTGGTAATTAACTGTCTCCACCTGGCCTCCTCCCCTCCCTGCTTGCATTGGGGAGTATATTTCAACTGCAGCTGCTCCTACCAACATTCCTGCCTTAGAAAACAGCCAGTAAGGAGAGAGAGAGAGAGAGAGTGTGTGTGTGTGTGTTTAAGCTTCTGAAACTTTAATATATGCCTCATGACAAGAATGAGAGACTCTTGAAAAACCTACTGAGGAATGAGTGAGGATTGAAAAAAACACACAAAAAACACATTGTCGCATCCACCTGCTCTGGAACCACATGTTGAGAAACCAATGTCATAGAGGTTCAACAAAAGTGTCATTTCTATACTCCATTTAAAGCAGCCCCTTGTCACTCCCATACTCTGGTTGATTTTTCTTAAGAGCACTTGACCTACTTGATATTATGTATTACATACAATTTTAATGTCAATTATACCTCAATAAAGTGGGTAAATAAATACATAAGCAAATTAAAAATTTTTTAATTGTGTGAACATGTTTCTTATCAACAGTAACAAAAATTTAAAGAGCTTATCATTAAAAATCCTTGATTAGACATTTCATGTAGCCATTTCAAACATGAAATTATTTTTGTGGAAGCTTGAGATTTTTTCCTCATTTAAAGTGTAATTTTTGACTTATGTAACATTAATGTCAGGTGAACAACATAAGGATTCGATATTTGCATATGTTGCAAAATGATCACCATAGTAAATCTAGTTAACATCCACCCATACATAGTTACAAAAACGTTTTTCTTGAAATGAGGACTTTTAAGGTCTCTCTCAGCAACTTTCAAATATGCAGCCCAGATGCTTGAGGTCAGTACAATTAGGGAAACTGGCTCTTCCAGAGCTGCCTACAGTTATAACTAACTGCTCTGCCTATAAAGGTAGAAATTTCCATCTTTCTCAAGTCCTCACCCTGTCTCCCATGACCCCATGTAGTCACCAAATTCTATTGATTCTCCATCCTATCTAATAAAAGGGTAAAATGCAAATTAACCATCACTCTGTCACAAAGATGGTGGTGCCCATAGCCGCAAGATGGCACCCAGTCCCCTCAGCCCTGCCAGAGTTCCCCAGTCCTGGGGGGAGCAGCCACTGAGAGCGGGCAGCATGAGCGGCCTGGTGGAATGCTTGCTTTGTCACCGCGGTGATGAGGCAAGCATCCCCCCCCAGCCACGGAGGGCTTCTGGGCCGCGGAGAGCCTCTGGGCAGTGGGTGCGGAGTGGCCAGGCCCCGCAGAGAGCAAAGAACCACGGGGAGTGGGCCTAAGCCGTCACGGCTCTCGGCTTGAAGAGGGCTTCCCTGAGGGCTCCCAGATTGGAGAGGGTGCAGGTGGGGCTGAGGGCCCCCCCCCCATGCACGAATTTCATGCACTGGGCCTCTAGTCTCAGAGATATTTTGTGAATCCAAGCCATCTCCACTGCAAAGCCTTGGATCTAGCTCTCATCAGTATCAGTTTCCTGGGCCATTGCTGTGCCCTCCTCGTTGGTCTCTTTGCCATCTACAAATCGAGAAAGTCAAAGTCAAATAGAAAAAAAAGTCAAATTTAAGTCTCCTTAGTTTCTTACAGCTCTAAAATAAGATTTGCAATTTTATTGAGTGACAATGAATTCCAGCCTTTTCATTAATTCATATAAATCAATATTCACTCCTTTATCCAAATGGATATAACATTTCAAAACAATAAGTGAAATAAGTATAATTTTTAAAGCCATGAAATCTTTGATGACCTTTTGTCTCAGAAACAAACCTTAAAGTCAACAAATTTAATTGTTCCTCCCCTTCTAATAACCCCATAACGTCAGTCTCTTAACAAATCCAAACAAGAAGGAAAGTATTAAGAGTTTTAAAATGTCAACATACAATATTTTCAACAAAGGGATGACCAACATTAATTAAAAAGGAATCTGAAAGAAAACAGCAACATCATAAGAGTAGATGAGGCCAGCCAGCTAGAGACTCATGTTGCTGCCTCAGCACTCCCCACCTCCCGCCCTCTCAGAGATGCTGTGCTGACCTTTTTACCATGGAATGCAATGCGCTTTCTCAGCATCATTGTCATTTACAATCCCAACAGGCCTGTGTTATAAGCAGGTGCTTGTATCGATTGCTGTTAATATAAGGATATAAAAAATGAAGAAATGATTACGTACCTTGTCAGTGGTCCTACAGCACAAGAGACTGAGAACAAACACCCAATGCAGGGCCTTTTCGCACCAGTTTTTCTTCTGCAAGAAAGCCCTCTATCTTATTGGGAGACGGTACAGTTTTGAGAGCATTATTTATCCAGATACCTTGCCAATTCTTGGAGTAGAAATTGAGGTGAAATTTTGGTTCAAGAGTTTAGGACTCTAGATCAAATTAATTTGTAACAAAGGCTGAGAAAAAAGATATCAGTAAATGCTACCAACAGTTTCATACTTTTTCACACGGGGAAATCTTTACAGGATGATAAACTAGCTATGTACAATGGCAGCTATGAATTTGAGCAAATACTAAATAACCATGGTACTTTTCCCTCTGTGGGCCAAATGCAGCCTCAGAATTTTTCTCATTGTGCTGCTCTCGGCAGGAGCGTTCATTGAGGCAGGCACAGGAGAGGAAACATTTGTCCTCCCTTAGGGAACCCAGGCAATAAAAAGGGTTAGAGAGTAAAAACCACATCTATTCAACTTGCTTTATTACTAATCTTTTAATTACTCTATTCCCAGTAGCCTAAACTTGGAATCTATGGAAGAAAGTAGTGGCATGGTTTTTCCAAACCCTTTGGTGTTACTTTAGGTTCTCATTCTCTAGTAAGATTTTTGAGAGAGGGAAAAAAAACTATGTACTGCTGTGTGAACTCAAATATTGAAAAAGATAAGTGAACGTTATTTCTACCATCATGTGATCTGAGCTATTTGAGTAGAATCATAAATCTTGATTTGTACGATTACCTAGACCAACCTTGAATTCAGTGTGAAACAGATTATGTATAGAGAGTAAAAGAGAAGCTTATTCATTGTTTCAAGCTCCTGGGCAGAGAGTGTGTCGGCTCCCAGGTCTGCTGCCCGATGGAGCACTGTCAGGGAACCTTGGCATCGCGAAACTCCTGCCTTCAGCAAGGAAGCAGGAGAACAGGCGTCGTCAAGGACAAAAGTGTCCCTCCCCTAAAAACAAGTTTAATCAGATCTCTTCCCTCCTGAGGCCCTTCAAGAAGCATGACGCCATCAACAGGCTCAAGCCCTAGTAAAGATAATCCTACATACTAAAAGGGTAATATGCAAATTGACCCTAACAGCAGAACCACTGGGAACGACCGGTTGCTATGACCAGCACTGACCACCAGGGGGCAGAAGCTCAATGCAGGAGCTGCCCCTGGTGGGAAGTGCACTCCAAGAGGGGGAGCTTAGGCTCAACACAAGCCGGGCTGATGTGGGAGCCTCTCCTGCCTCCTTGGCAGCGCTAAGGATGTCTGACCGTGGCTTAAGCTGGCAGGTGGACATCCCCGGAGGGGTCCCGGACTGTGAAACGGCTCAGGCTGGGCTGAGGGACCCCCTAAGGGCACCTAAGTGCACGAATTTTCATGCACCAGGCCTCTAGTAAATTAATAAAAATAAAACATAAGTGTGTGTGTGAGAGAGAATAGAGATCCGAAAGACTTCCTTTCCCCTTTTTAAAATCTAAATCCTCCCAGGAGTAGTGCAAACACCATTACCAGTCAAAGCATTTGCAGAAAGATCAGGGCCAGGACGTGAAATAAATTAGGGGGCGGGGAAGAGCTTGGGGAGGACCCCAAGGGGGAGCCAGGACGGCTTGGGGAGACGTTTCTAACTTTACCTTCAAGTTACCCGACTTGGACGGCTTGTTCCCTCAAGCTCGCCAGCAGTGCCGAGGCCCCTAAGCAGAGGCCTTCACGGCCCCGCCCGGCATGTCAGGTGCATGGTCCACAGGAAACACATTTTAAACACCGCGACCCGGCTCACGGGCTTCGCACACTCACTGCGGAAAGTCACACCCGTCGGCGGGCGCGTCCATAGCTCCTCTGAGCAGCCGCTGCCCCGGCCACCAGGAGCGAAGCCCCCGCCCGGCGGCGACCCTCCCCGGGCCCCGCCCTCCCCCCCACCCCCACCCCCACCCCCCGCCCCGGTCCCCGTTCAAGACCGTCCCCCAGGGACACGCCGAAGGCGACTCTGCAGGGACCGCGCTCCCGCCGGCAGCTCGGAGGATGGACAGGAGGGCGCGGAGCTCCTCCCGAGAGGCCCGGGGGAGTGGCGGCGGGGCCCCCCGCAAGGAGAACCGGAGGGCGAAGGCGGAGCGGGGCGGTGGAGGCCGCGGGCGCCGGGATGCGGGGCGCGAGCGGCGGGACGTCGGGCAGGAAGGGAGCCCCCGGGAGACCCGCGCGCCCGCGGCTGCCGTGGCAGCCACCGTGGTGGACGTGGATGATGTGCGGGGCTCCGGCGAGGAGGGCACCGAGGCGATGGCGCCGCTGGAGAGCGAGCGGCCTGAGGAAGGTACCGCGGGCAGGTTGGGGGCCCGGGAGCGAGAGCGGCCTTTCCAAGTGGCAGCCGAGGGATGTCAGATACAGTGGAATGCGCCTCCATGCCCCGAGCCACCGAGGCCAGGGCCTGGAAGACACCCCCACAAGGGGCAGCTGCCAAATGCATCCGAAGAAATACAAGTAACATCAACTAAATACCGTGGATCTCCAGAATGGGGAGGTCGGAGGGAGTGTGGTCTGGGTTAGGGACCAATGCACACGGCAAAGAAACCCTGCCGCTGGGTTTATGGCCACGGAAGAGTTTACGGGCACCTCATCTAAGTGAAGACGTGCACGGGCTGGTGGCTCCGGGCAACTATTCAACTTATTTTTCCATCCTCACTCCCACCCTTCAATCCCACGGAAACGCATGCTGAAGCCTCTTTGGGATGATCACTTTTCTAAAAGTAGAGGGAGCAGAGCCACGTAGAGAAGAGCCAGACCCGAGTTTAAATCTCAGCTCAGCCGCTGGCTACCCATGTGCTCATTCATAGGCACCCGGGATGGCGGCAGGACCTGGCCCAGAGGGTAGCTGTGAGGATGAAAGGAGATGAGGCACCGTGCACAAAGCCTGGCTCAAGGAACACATTCCGTTAAAACAGGATCCCTGCAAGCTGCAAGAGAGCAAAGTCAGATGGAAGGAGGGAATCACAGGGAAAGTTGTCTGTTTGGCTTCTTCGGGGTGAAGCAACCATTAGGAACAAATGTATCTGCTTCCAATTTTTTTTTTTTTTAATGAACAAAAGAAAAACTATTCCACTTTAAGTGTAGGATAAAGCTTAAAGGAAATTAAGTAAGGAATAGTTGCATTATATTGTTTTCTGCTGGCTAGGAAATTGTAACATTTCCTAGTTACCAGCAATGCCGTACATGCTGGAGCTGTTTTGTCCACCTGATGCCCTTTCGTCAGCCAGAAACGTCCAGTCATTAAATGGTTGTTGAGTTCACTGCTATAGTATTGCTGAGAATGGAGTCTTGTATGTGGTTCAGGCTACAACGTAGAGGGAGCCACGGAAGGAAGCCTAGGTGTTTTACTGAGTAGTGTCATTCCCATCTCACAGATGAGGGAAAATGCTGAGGACTTGGTAACTTGCCCAAGACCTGCAGCTGGGAGGTGGAGATGCCTGAATTCTAGAGTAAGACAGTCTGATGGAAAAGCTCCTCCTTGCCCGCGCTGCCCCTGATTTCTGGTCATGGTCCCAGCATTGCCACGGACCAGCTGTGGCCTTGGGCAAGCAGTTTCATCTGTGTGGACTTCGTTCAAGTGACTAGAGCCTGGGGCCCTACGCAATGGATGAGAAGTCTCATTGAGGATGAGGCGGCCTTGCTGAGCCCTTGTCGGGGAGGTTTCGATGGCTCCCAGGAGGAAGGGGAGCAAGAAGCAGCAACATCCACTCCTCTGCCTCCCTTAGCCCACACTCCCCCTTCCAGGCTACTTAAGATTTAGGAGAAAGGACAGAACGCATCTCTTTACTAAAATGCTGGGGATTCTTGGGCTATGTCTTATCTAAAGGCTCTTCCTACTTTAACATTTAATGGTTCACTAGTCATTTAAACAAATCGGATATTCAAGGAACTGATTCCAAGAGAATATTTTGTGAGCAAATCTTTAAGTTAGGTTTTGGGTATAGATACTAGTATTAGTTTCCTGTTCATATCTTTAATTACTGTGTGAAGGAATTTTGAGGCCTTTCTTTACTTATAAAATATAATTTTGTCTGTATGTGCATTTATTTGTTTTTACTTGGCATGGTTACCACTGTAAGTGAAATATTTTTATTTACTAATTAAATATGGCAATAACACTGTTATTGCTCTTAAGGAAGAATAAGAAGAAAAAAGGCTAGCATGATGTCAATGGAGCAGCATTTTCCAAAGTATATTACATGAGAAATAAACTCCATAGAACATAATTTCCTTGGAGAAAACATTGCCTGGTCAAATGTTTGGGAAACACAATTCTGCCTTTTCAGGGGCCTGCTCCACCTTCCATAGGCCCACATGGCCCTTCACACAGACAGTAGCCTAGCCCTGTGAACTGACTTCGCTGATACCCAGCTTATTCTAATATTCCCATGGAAGTCTACAAACTGTTCTGACCCTAATACCAAGGTCTGGACAACACATGCTAGTCAGTGAAGATGGTGAAGTTTTAATATACTCCTTCTTCTTCTTTTTGAAGGTACCAAGTCTTCTGGGTTAGGGGCCTGTGAGTGGCTTCTTGTCCTCGCATCCCTGCTCATCATCATCGTGACCTTCCCTTTTTCTGTCTGGTTCTGCATAAAGGTGAGATCCTTTAATCTCCTGAAGCCTCTCACTAACTACATCATGCCCACTTTTACTTCTGTGTTTTGATAAGGGCTGTCTGCTCCGCATGGAATGCCCTCCCCACTCACCTCCCAGGAGAGCACCTACTCCTTTAAGACATTGCTCACATGTAACTGTGAAGACTTCCTTGACTTCCCCAGACTGTCATTTCCTTCCTCGTGCTCTGGTGTCACTCTGCTTCGACACCCATTCTAGCACTTACCACATGTATAGTATTTTTTGACACCCCATCTCTCTGATTAGATGGAGAGCCCCTTCAACACAGGGGCTACACCTAGGTCATCTGCCCTCTGTAACACAAATGATGCCATTGTAATAACCTGGCTATTATTTAACAGGAAAGGAAAAAAGGGAAGACTAGACAGACTACATATAATAAGCATGCCATTTATACAGCTTTGCCAAAAAGCTGCCTTTAACATTCTCCAAGTCTGTTCCCCACTGATTGATGGGGGATGGGACTAGACAAAGGCAGTTTAGATACATGCCCAGTAAGGTCTGAGTGACATGGGAGGGTGCCTGCCCGTCTGCCAGTCATACTTGGGAACAAATTAGTGGCCAGAATGGAGGAGAATTTGTGACTCACTGGCATTACTTTTTCTTTAAACGCTTGGCAAAATTCCCTAGTGAAGCCATCTAATCATGGATTTTTCTTAGTGTGAAATTTTTAAACTACTAATTTAATCTCTTCTAGTTCTTTTCAGTTTTTGTTTTTCTTCTTAAGTCAGTTTTGGTAGTTTGTGTATCTGTAGGATTTTGTCCATTTCATCTAAGTTATCTAATTTGTTGGTGTATAGTTCATAGTATTTTTTCTTATAATATTTTTTATTTCTTTAAGGACAGTAGTGATGTCCCTGTATCATTCCTCTTTAATTCCTGGTTTTAGCAATTTGAGTCTTCTTTTTTATTGGTCAGTCTAGATAAATATTGGTCAATTTTGTTGATGTTTTCAAAGAACCAACTTTTGGTTTTGCTGATTTTCTCTATTGGTTTTCTCTTCTCTATTGCATTTATTTCCACTCTAATCTTCATTAACTTATTTCTTCTTGCTTTAGGTTTAGTTTGCTCTTCTATTTCCAGTGTCCTAAGGTAGAAGATTCAGGTATTATTTTGCAATACTTCTCACAATTTGAAACAAAATGTAAGAACTGGTATTAAAATATACTCCCTCTTTCTGTTGAGACATATAAAAGCTAATCATACAGAAGTCACAGAAAAATACAAGATTGAACATGCTGTGGAAAACATGCTCTGATTTCTTTGAGTTAGGGACTATCAAACATTAGTGGAAGCATTATTATTATTATTTTTAGATAATCATGGCTCTTTAATAAAAATTCTGTTCACAGGCTCAAAAATGAACACGGCCAATATAGGTTTTTTTATTGGTTTCTAAAATTCTACACTTACTGAATGTAGATTTTGGAAACCTACATATCTAGTTTTTTCTTGGTTCTCAAAACCAAAGATTCCTGATACTTAGCATTACTCTCATGTGAAGGCCTTAGAAGACTCTCTTTTTCTTTCTTGGCGTGATTCAAAAGTATTAAATTTGCTTTTAGGTTGTACAAGAATATGAGAGAGTAATTATATTCCGACTGGGACATCTGCTTCCTGGGAGAGCCAAAGGCCCTGGTAAGGAACAGTTTTTTAACCACCTGTAGACTTGCCAGTTTCTTCAATCCATGCATATTTGTAATATCGACCTTAGATTACATGAAATAACTTGATTCATGGTATCTCCATTTTCCAATCTGGTACTTGTAGCAAGTTTTATTAAGAAATTCTTCAGAGAGCATTACTACCAGATCACAATAACCAAGAGAGAAGATGGGAGCAGAGAACTAAATGCCAGGGCCAGGCTGGCCAGAGTAACAGGTAGGCTTAGAATCCATGTCCAGGCACCAGTTTTAGTAGAATGTGTGTATGGTCAGAGTTCTGTGAATTCTCAGAGCAAAGCTAAGCTAATTCAAAGTCGAGAGGGTCAGACCAAACTATGGGAAATAGACAAAAGTTCAGCGTCCAGGTAATAAAGTGGTCTTTAGTTGGTGGAACTGAAGAAAAACAGATTGAGCACTTCTTATATTTCAGATACTATGTAACTAACAGAGATATAAATATGAATGAGACATGGTTTCTGAATTCAAGGACCTTAAAATCTAGTGGAGCTGATGTACAGAGGTCCAAGCTGATAATGGGTACTGATAGAAGCATGGTTAGTCTGAAAGGTCTAGCAGTTGGGATTTGGATAGCCAAGCGAGCCAGGAAGGCATGAAAAGGAGCAAAGTCCCATGGTGCATATATTGGAAAGGGTCCAAATTCCAGGCCAGCTCTACAGAAGAAGGTAGAGAATAGAGATCAGACTAGAAGACATAAATCATGTTTGAAGATTCATAATCAACAGACCAAGGTGATCATACAGCCTATTTTGCCAAGGATAATCTCTGTTTATGCCTGTTGTCCTGGAGTAGGTTGTAACAGTGCTCTCTTTTCACTCTCAAAAGTGTTCCAGATTGAACAACAAATTATACAGTAACCTTAGCAACAACAGACACTACAGGGATAGTGGTGGGGTCACCCAATGGCCTGTGTGTAGTTGCAGGATAAGAAAAGCAATGAAATGTGCAGCCTGACCCCCCCAAAAGTGAACCCCAAACAGTCTCCATGCTAGCCATTCACCTGTAACTTTCTCCTCCCCCTCTCCTAGGTCTTTTCTTCTTTTTGCCCTGCCTGGACACCTACCACAAAGTTGACCTTCGTCTCCAAACCTTGGAGATACCCTTTCATGAGGTAAGCCAAATGATGGATGTTGCTTTCTCTACATTTTACAAAGCTGATCTAGGGCAAAATGACTACTTAAGATCAAAAGTAGAAAAGGAAACTAGAGATATGGACTACATCAAAATGAAAAAAATCCCGAACATCAAAGGACACAATCGACAGAATGAACAGGCACTCTATGGGATGGAAGAAAATAACATGTCTGATAAAGGGTTAATATCTAAGATATATAAAGACATCTTACAACTCAACAAGAAAGCAAACAAACAAACAAAAAAAGGACTTGCGATAGTTAATTTTTATGTATCAACTTGACTGAGCGATGGTACCTAGATATTTGGTCAGAAACAACTGGATTTTGCTGTGAAAGTACTTTTAGGTACGATTAATACTAAATCAGTAGACTTTGAGTAAGGCAGATTACATTCTATAATGTGGCTGGGCCTCACCAATCAGCTGGAGGCTTCAAGAGAAAGACTGCCTACCCCTGGAGGAGGAGAGAATTCTGCCAACAGACTGCTCTCAGGCTGGAGCGGCAACATCAACTTTTCCTTGAGTCCCCTGTTGACCTCTCCTGAAGATTTTGGACACACCAGCTGGGCTAGCATGGCTTTTTCTCAGCCTCTACAATTGTGTAAGCCAATTCCTTAAAATCTCTTCCTCTCTCTCTTTCTAGACACACACACACACACACACACACACACACACACACACATTCTATTTCTCTGGAGAGACCTGGCTAATACAGACTTGAATAGCACGTTTCGAAAGAAAATATACAAATTGTCAACAAACACATGAACAAATGTTCAAAATCACTAATCATTAGAAAAATGCAAATCAAAACCACAATGAGATACCACCTCACATATATTAGGATGGCCACCAAAGAGAAGGGAAAAAAAAGCCAGGAAATAACAAATGCAGGCATTGCAACCCTTGTGTACTATTAGTGTGTATGTGAAATGGTACCGCTGCTGTGGAAAACAGTACAGCAATTCCTCAAAAAATTTAAAACAGAATTGCCATTAGGTCCAGCAATTCCACTTCTGGGTATATACCCCAAGGAACTGAAAGCAAAAATTTGAAGAGGTATTTATATACCCATGTTCATAGCAATATTGTTACAATGGCCAAGAGGTGAAAGAAACCCAAGTGTCCATCAATGGCTGAATAAACAAAATGTGGTATATATCTATCATGGAAAATTATTCAACCTTGAAAAGTAAGGAAATTCAGACACTTACAACATCATGGATGAACCTGGAGAACATTAAGCTAAGTGAAATAAACCAGTCATGAAAAGACAATATTGTATGATTCCACTTATACTAGGTACCTAGAGTAATTAAACTCATAGAGACAGAAAGTAGAGTGGGGGGTTCAAGGGTTGGGGAGAGGAATGGAAAGTTCTTGTTTAATGGGTTTCAGTTTTACAAGATGAAAAGAGTTCTGGAGATTGGTTGTACAACAATATGAATGCAATTAACATTACTGAACTGTACACTTAAAAATGGTTAAGATGGTAAATTTGATGTTATGTGTATTTTACCACAAATAAATTTAAAAAGTAGAGATAACACCTAGATTTTCCTATTGGTAATTTAGATTTATAAGCCTTTCCTAACTGTCCCCCACTTTCAGTTTAAAGATCTTTCCTATGCTTTCTTTTGTTAAATAAAAACAGAAATTATATATATTTAAAGGCTTACTTCAGATAATAAAATGTAAAAAAGAAATAAATAAAATTTACCCCTAATCCTACTACCTATAGACAGATGTAGATATTTTGGAGTGTATCTTTTCAGACTTATGTCTGTGTGTGGTTATATTTACAGACAGGAATATATATCAAACCATACATTCCATAGTAGCATGACTTATTTATTTTTAATATATTTTAATTGATTTTAGAGAGAGAGGAAGGGAGAGAAACATCAATGACAGAAAAACGTTAACATCAATCAGCTGCCTCCAGCACGCTCCCTACTGGGGATCGAGTCCACAACCTGGGCATGCACCTTAACTGGAATTGAATCCTTACCTCTTTTTTTTTCTGAATCGTTACCTCTTGGTTCCTGGGTTGACACTCAACCACTGAGCCACACCAGCTGGCCTAGCATGACTTTTTTTTTTTACCCCAAATTTTTGTGATCATCTTTTCATATATTAGCTATGTTTCTACCCTTTTATTTTACATGGACACAAAGCATTCTAATGTATGGACATATGTACCACAATTTATAATTCCCTATTGTTGATATTAGGTTGTTTCCAATTTCTTATTACAGTAAGCAATACTGTGAATAACATCCCTGCAGCTAAATCCTTGTATGTCCTTGTGAAGGGTCTGAACATGGACATGCTGAGCACATGCGTCTGTGAGGGCACTGGGCATGCATTACCAGCCTGCCCTCTAGTGTACACCCAGCACGCAGAGCATGCACGTACTTGCCTCCCAGACCCTGCTTCTCTTGAGCACATTTTTGGGGGCATCAGTTAAAAAGACCTGATAAGCAACTGTTTTCTTCATGTAAGAAAATTCTTCCTGATTTTTTTTACAAAAATATTTACAACAGGACTCCCTTACATTGTGAATGCTTTGGCGTAGTTAATAAAAACTCCTTAATCTTCAGAAACACGTCTATTTTGAATAATGGGTAGGCCAACTACTTTTTAGCTTTTTTTCTTGCTAAAATCGCCCTTTGAGAAAATTCCCCTTGAACACATTTAGTTCCCGTTCCTTTAATCTCGAACAGGAAAGGAGTCCAAGAATGAGACCTGACAGCCACACCTTCTTTTCTGCGTAGGTTGTGACCAAAGACATGTTTATAATGGAGATAGATGCCATCTGCTACTACCGAATAGAAAATGCCTCTCTTCTCCTAAGCAGTCTTGCTCATGTGTCCAAAACTATTCAGTTCCTCGTGCAAACCACCATGAAGCGTCTGCTAGCACATCGATCCCTCACTGAAATTCTTCTAGAGAGGAAGAGCATCGCCCAAGATGTAAAGGTACTTCAATAAATTTAACATTGAATGTGTGGAAATATACCTTTATTTTTCATTCATTTCCTTCATTGATCATTTATTGAATCTGTCATGTGCCAGGCCTTCACTGTTGAAGGTGCTACCCCTTAAGAAACTGATAGCTAAATAAAAGATTATCAGATTGATCCTGAGCCAATCATAGTCACCAGTGTGGTGCAGGTTAGGCAGTCATTGCCATAGTTTTTGCTCTCAACCCTACTCCAGCAGCTTCAGACTCATTGTAAAGTGCCCACATAGCACAAAGTGGTGCGAGTGGGGGCTGGCGGGGTGAGGATGGGGGCTGGATGGGAGAGGTTGGTGGCATACCAAGATGATAAGGAATGTCTCCTGGGAGCTGTCTAGTTGGGGAAACAAAGTTAAACAATGGTAAGTTCAAATCAGACTTTCAGATAAAAAGATGTCACAGACCCTTACATGATTAATTCCCAATCATCTAGATTTAACTGATTTTGAAATAGGGGAGGGAGAGGGAGAGAAAAGCCAGAACTGCCTCTCAAGATTGGCAAAGGCATTAAGAAGAGAGGCAAGAACAAAGCAGGATTCCAGAAAACTGACCAGTCAAATGGTAGTTACCTCCAGTGACAGAGCCTGTCATGAGGCCATGGGGCACAGAACTGAGTTAGGGGGTGATGAATCATGACTAGCTGAAAGAGGGACCTCCAACAGGAGGATCTAAGGACCAAAGGCGTTGATAATAATCGTGCTGATGGGGCCTGAGCGGACACTAATCCGAGAAAATGAAGAACCCAAATGTTTGTGAGTTGTCCCACTTGCTACTGATAAAACAGTGGTTAGCATCCTGGTTGTAAATAAAGGGAAGAATTCAGTAAACAAGAGAAGCTAAAAAGAGGGAAAGTTATAACAAGAGGGACACAGGAGAGTTGTTGCTCTGGAATGTAAAAACCATCCAAGTGTGCCCCTCCTCTGTACCTGTTCATCCGCTCTTCCTGTTCTTCCCTCCCCATTAAAGGATAAAGTCCCGACTCTTGACATTGAAGCTTGCCTTGTTACACTGAATTATACTTTATGTATTTATACGTTTGTCTTCCGGGTTATGAACTCCATATGGCAGGGGCCATGTTATTCCTCTCTCTGTCTCAGGGCCTGGCACAGGGCGATCACACAGCAGCCTGATAGTGGCTGAGTGAAGAAACAGCCCAGGTGTTGCAGCCTCACTTCTTGCTGTCCTTCCCCCGTGTGTCCGATACTCCAGCCTCCTTAGCATTCCGCCGGCTCCTTGCCTCCTCTTAGGCTGTCTCCTCCGCATGGAATACTTCCCTTTCTCCACAGGCAAAATCCTATTTGTTCTTTAAGATGCCACCTCCTCTGTGACGGCTTTTTCAACACTCCTTCCTCTCACCAAGCTCCCAAACTCGTCAGTCTTCTCAGGTTTCTCAATGCACTAAGCGTATCAGTTATCTAACAACTAAGAAATAATTAAGAAGGAAAAGAATGTGAGCCCACATGTGGAGCTCCATGCCTTGTCCACTTTTCTCCAGAACCCACAGTTCATTTTCTCCCGCCTCCCGGGACTGGACGTGGGGGAAACGCGTGCCACCAGCAGGAAGGCCGTGCAAGCACCTGTCACTGAAAGAACTTGTTATTTGGGAGAAAACTACAGACTCTGTTTCTAATAATGCATTTTAAAAGAGATTTAACAGCCGAAAAAACCGGTTTGGCTCAGTGGATAGAGCGTCGGCCTGCGGACTGAAAGGTCCCAGGTTTGATTCCGGTCAAGGGCATGTACCTGGGTTGCGGGCACATCCCCAGTGGGAGATGTGCAGGAGGCAGCTGATCGATGTTTCTCTCTCATCGATGTTTCTAACTCTCTATCTCTCTCTCTTCCTCTCTGTAAAAAATCAATAAAATATATTTTTTTAAAAAAAGCTTTTTTTTTTTTTTTAAAAAAAGAGAGATTTAACAAATACGCCATCTGTAGCATTTCCCTTTGCTTTTATGACAAATTGCCACAAGGTTGGTGGCTTTAAATCCACATCAATTTAATCTTTAACAGTTTTGAAGGCCAGAAGTCCAGAGTTAGTTTCGCTGGGCCAAAGTCAAGGTGTCAGCAGGGCTAGTGCCTAATGGAGGTTCTGAAAGGAGAATCCGTTACCTTGCCTATCTCAGCTTCTAGCGGCCGCCTGCATTTCTTAGCACTCGGCCCTTCCTCCATCGTCAAACTACACCACTCCGCTGTCTGCTTCCGTCACCACATCGTCTTTTCTTCTGTTGTCTGATCTCCCTCTGCACCACCTGGAGGCTGTCACTGACATCTCAACTCTTCCCTCTGCAGGTCGCCTTGGATTCAGTGACCTGTATTTGGGGAATCAAAGTGGAGAGAACAGAAATGTGGGTATGAAATGAACTGGGAAGAACAATATGATAAATGGAAATATTTTGGTTTTATTAAAAAAATTTTTACTTGATAAGTTATTTTCATTGCGTGAGTACGACTATAACCATAATAGCATAAATTTGGGGGAGACAAGAGAAAAAACACCTATACCTATTATCTCATAAACATAACACAAGCATTGTGACATTTGGGCAAATTACTTTCATTTTCTCTGTAAGGAATTAAAAATTTTTTTTGAGATAAAATCACATAACATAAAACTCATCTTTTAAACCACTTTCAAGTACAATGCAGTGGTTTTTAGTATATTCACAAAGTGGTGCAACCGTCACTACCAACTAATTCTAGACTATTTCCTTCACCCCAAAAACAAAGCCTGCGCCCTTAGCAGAAACTCCTCATTTTCCCTCCTCCCCAGGCCCTGATAACCTCTCTCTCTCTCTCTCTCTCTCTCTCTCTCTCTCTCTCTCTCTCTCTCTCTCCTCTCTCTGGATTTGCCTGTTCTGGCCTTTGTATATAAAGGCAGTTATACAATGTGTGGCCTCTGTGTCTGGCTTCTTTCACGTAGCATAATGTTTTCAAAGTTCACCCATGCTGTAGCATGAATTAGTACGTCATTCCTTTTTATGGTCGAATATTATTCCATTGTGTGACTAGACCACATTTTGTTTATCTTCTCATCGACTGATGGACATTTGTGTTGTTTCCACTTTGGGGCTATTATGAATAATGCTGCAATGAACATTCACGTGCAAGTTTTTATGTGAACATGTTTTCAATTCTCTTGGGCAGATACCTAGGGGTGGAATTACTGGGTCATACGGTAACTCCATATTTAACTTTCTGAGGAACTGCCAGACTGTTTTCTATCCATGTATTTTTCATTGTTGCATTTGGGGTAAAAGTAACATTTTGTTATCTTTTTTGTAATACGTTAAGTATTGTTCTTATTTGGTCAGTTCTGTGCTTTTCAAAACAATTCTCTTGTATAAACTGAGATAACTTCCCCTTATTCTTATTAGTAGTCAGGTGGCTCTTCAAGGTTTTTTTTCATTGTTCTAATTTAATAGCTGGGATTTAGATTAAACTATGTGGGGGGGAAAGGAACATAATCCATCAACACAAAATCTGTTCTCCATGGAAAGAGAAAACCATAGCTCACCTTAGCATCAGTGATAAAAAAATCTGCGCTAAGGCACTGACCCCTGAGACACACCCTTGGCCGACTGTCTGCCCAGGGATCTAGGGATGGCACTCTGTCAATCCAAATTTCCTGTGCATCGTGAAGAACAGTAGGGAAGGGGGTCAGACTGTACGGGAGCTCTGAGTGCTGAGAGCAGTGCCGCAAACCTACCTGGCTACGTTCTTTCTCTTTCAGTAAGGACGTGAGGCTGCCGGCCGGGCTGCAGCACTCCCTGGCTGTGGAAGCCGAAGCGCAGAGACAGGCCCGAGTGCGGGTGAGCCAGCACGGAGCAGGCCATCTGGCCTCCATCAAAGAGCAGGCTGTTCTTTGAGAAGCACCGGAGAATCCAAAAGGCCTGCTCATGCAGAGCATTTCCCCTTTGCTTCCTCACCTCCCATTCGTCCAGGCTCTGGGAGGAATCTGGCTTGTGCCCCCCACTCCAACCAACTCTATTAAAATTGCTAGTGTGCTTGTAGCTCCTAAATGACTAATGCAACATCTCCTCCCGCTACTCCCTCTCTCTGAGGCCATTGGTAACAGGGACCATCTCCTCCAGATTGAGTCTTGTCTTCATTCTCTCTCCCTAAAGGCCTCTCACCATACTTCATCCTTCTTCTCTTGTATTGACATCTGTCCTGGGTAATATCAGTCACCTGTTACCTACAGGTTAATGACACCCAGACCTGTCTCCCTAGCTCTGCGCAAGCTCTGGAGAGACAACCATGCTCAGGGGCCAGTTTCCTCAACACCAGAGCCAAGAGAAGGCTGTGCGACCCATAGCCTCTACCCAGACATGCCAGTGAGAAGCGAGGATGTGGCTGCCAGCAACTCCTGACTTGTGTGGGTGGAATGGGGTGATGGGAAGAGGAAAATGAGGACTGAAGGGGAGGCAGATTTCTTTTAAGGAACAGGAAGTAGGTGGAAAAACCCCTAACCACATACAAGGTTGATGACTGAGGGGAAGTGGAGGAGGACAGGGGAGGAAGATGGTCTTCAGGGCAGAGTGGAATCTAACCCTCTCTGCCCACTTTAAAGTGGCATTCAGTTGGTGAGACTGGTGTTTTTCCTTCTGAAAGGCTTCCCCATTCATTTTGCTTAGGTTGGGAACTACCCTTTCAGGATTCCATGTTTTTGCCTGGAATATTGGCCAACCTTTTCTCTATATGGCAAAATCCTTTTAACCTTTCAAGGACCACTAGACCTAACGCCCAAACACTTCACTATACTTGCCATTTGTGGCCTCAACAAATTCTGCCCTAAATTACAATTAATGGTGTAATCTGTCTTCCCTAGAGCAAGATCCTTGAAAATGAAGACCATCTGTTCTATGCTTCACAGCACCTGCCACATAATAGATGCTTGCTGAATAGTGATTAAAACTGTCCAGGAAGGAAGAAGGGAACTCACTTTGCTTTTCTTCACGTCTGTTCTCTAGATGATCGCTGCAGAAGGGGAGAGAGCCACCTCCGAGTCCCTGAGAATGGCAGCTGAGGTTCTATCAGGCACTCCGGCTGCTGTTCAGCTTCGATACCTCCACACTCTTCAGTCCTTGTTCACAGACAAACCTTCCACCGTGGTTATACCTTTGCCATTTGACATGTTAAATTTCGTGTCTTCTCCCAGCAACAGAACTCAAGGAAGCATCCCCTTCCCAAACCCTTCCAAACCTGTGGAACCATTGAATCCTAAAAGGAAAGACTCTCCCATGTTGTAAGAGGGGCGAAGGATGCTATGTGGGAACCTGCCGTGTGACAGCCACACGCCCGAGTGTTCTCACTTCCTGCCCTTTCGCTTGGTTGCCGGATAGAATGCCCTCGGAATGTATGAAGCTGCAATGCAGCAACCTGCCCACACGAGAAGACAGTGAAATCATGTAACGACCAAGAAGAGATACAACAAGTTTAAGTAGGTCATCTAGTCAGAGTAATTATGGGAACGAGCGTTAGCCAACATTCTACTTTGGAAAGAATTTTGAGTCCATATATGGCTAAACTTAGATGTGGTTCAAATGTCCTTTTTGCTGTGTGCCTTCTGGCCCCTTTGGCAATGTCTTCGCTGCTCCCGCAGCCCTTTCTACATGCGCTGATCATTGTGTTTATTACACTGTGTTGTATAATCCTGTACTTAAGATGCAGGCTTCTCTCCAACTATACTATGAACTCCTCAAAGGTACATCTTAGTTATTCTCCCCTGACCACACTCAACCTTGTACACTCCACCCCATTGTCCTCACACCTAATCCTGATACCTGCACCACAGTGACACTTAAATGTCTGAGTGAATGAGAGTAAAAGAGATATAGTTGGGCTAAATATAAATAAAGAATTTAAAAGGAATTATAAAGTTCCTTTTTTTATAAAGACTCCTTTTTGAAATATAGAAATAAAAGGACAAAAACATTTATCTGATACATGTTGCTTAAAATCGGAGGAAGCATCACTATAAATATGGGGCCAATGTATTTTCAGTATAGAATTGACCAGTTTGCGTATTTTTCAAACAGTAACATTATGTGATCTATACATACTTTGAAGTATTCTTTTCTTGTATGTATTCCCTAATACAAATACATTTATATTATATAATTGGCCTTATTTTTTATTAACTTGCCTTATACAATTAGAAATATACATCTATAGAAAAAATATTAGTCACATAAATAAGAATACTGAGATATATATATATATAGTGAATCTTCTTATAAACTTAAAAAAAATCAATAACATTATAAAACATTACTAACATGACAAAAACATGACTAAAGATCATTATGAAGAGACATATGATAGAGATGACTCTGGGATTTTCCATGTTGCTGTAGCAGAAAGAAATGGTGGTAGCTACCCCAGTGCTCACTAGTTGGTGATTTCTCTCTGTCAAAGTGCCTCTTTACTCTTCATGTTATCTGATGTCATTATTGGAGATGTCTTCCTGCTAGCCCGTGAGAACTTTAAATATTTGGCATAAAAACATCGGTAAAGGACTTCTGTTTATGAATGTTATCCCATAAACCCTGTTGAACATTGTTTCAGAGAGAAATGTATTCTGAGCTCCTAACAGTGGACCTAGAAATTTTGTTAGTATTTTATCTGTTGAAGACAGGTTGTTTTCCCACTATGTTTAAATAACAGAGACAAGGCCCCAAACCAAGGGTGCTTTGCCCATCCTGTTCTCTCTCAATCACTCCAATACTCCTTCCCTCTGCCATCCTCCTGCCCTCTACAAAAAGAACAAAAACTCCCTAGCAGTCTAATACAGCAGTGCATCATGAGGCCAACCTCAGGGTCATCTCTGTCATATGTCTCTAGGCCATCTCATCACCTCCAGCCACACTGGGATAACCACACATTCTAGCCCAACCCTGCTGTGCCCTTTGACTTGAGCCAAGCAATGAATCTTCCTAAGATTATGCAGGATTATTAGATTATTTCAGAACCTACATATGCATACTGCCATGCCAAATTCACTTATTAATATGACCATCGGCTTATAAGGTGAGTATATAATGATGATAAATTTTCAATTTTGTTTCAAAAGGCTATTTCATCCAGTTCTGAAAAATGTTTCCGAATGTTGTTAAGAGAGTCTCCCTAGTCCCTGCTCCCAAGGACCAGGCTTGGTTGTGGGGGAATGGCGGTGCAGAAAGCCATAGATCAAACAGTCTCTGGGGCAATGGGAGATTCTGAAGCAGGAAAAGCTCTAAACCATGTTCAAGTGCCAAAATAGAAAGTGTGGAATCCAAAAGGCGGTCAAATCCAAGTAGGCCAAAGCAGGTAATGAAATCTGCCAAGCCAGGAGTATGGAGCCAATGAGAGGAAAGCAAGCACGAATGAGGCAGACAGAATGGGGAAGGGGAAACTCCTGGGTGATTCCCTAGAATGTCTAACCATTAGGCTTTGCAGTTTGTTTTTGTGCACCCGCCAGGGCACCGTCATAGGTGGCCCAGCCCATTTCAAGGGCCAATGGCAATTAGAGCATTCCTGAAGCGGGAAAAATGTTTCATTACCGCTGTGTTGGCCTGTACCCATCCCAGTGTACTTTTGATTGAAGTTAGGATGACATCAAGAGTTGTTGGTCACTTTTCACCCCCTATAGATGTTCTTGATATTGGGCTGGCAGATGCTGGAATGACTAATGAAAAAAAGGAGTTATGCTGTTTCAGGTAAAAACCACAGCCAGGAACAGAACAGTGAGAAGTGAATGCCAGGATGACAATGTAACAATGGCTTGTATGGACCTTTAATAATTCCTAAGATCCCTGACGTTAACAAAAAGTATTCGGAAAAACTTATTAAGAATTCTTTGTTGCCATGTTCCTCCTCCATATTTTTGTGAATCCCAAAGTCTGAATAAAGTTTACTATGTCTTCAAAAAAAATTCTTAAGTCCCATGTAAAAGCCCCTAAATTTGTTAGTGACATCCAAGATCTGTTTGGGAAAGCCAAAGGGTACAGCTGGGTATGCACAGTAGGTGGTAACTGTACGTGTGAATCTCAGCCTTGGCTTTCATTTAACCATGAACACAGCCAACTGTCTGAAAAATTTTGTTTTCTGCCCACAGATCTAAAGAACCATCCAGTAGGCTCAGCATTTTTGAAACCCATCCCATATTTTCTTTGATGACGGCCAGGGGCAGGTCTGGCCAGGGGTTTGGCTTAAATAAGGCTGGGGTTCTAGAGTCGGGGTGGGGGTGTCTGAGGTTTAAGGAACCAGGCAAAGGTCTAAAATTTCAGGAGATAAACCCAAAGGAACACCAAATCTGTGAGCCAAAGCAGATGCAGAAATCTCACCACAGTGTTTGGAGCCAGAGAGATAAGAGCAAATCCAAGTGACCCAGGAGCAGAGAAATCGGAAGGAGCTCTTGCTATGTGACTACCCAGAACGTGCACTTGTCATTTGCAACTTATTTTTTGCAGGTTAATCCACCTCTAGTGCCTAGGAGAATCCCCGGGCACAAACAGAACAGACAAATAAGGCAATAAAAGCAAAGAATGAAGATTCTGGGTGAACCTTCAGCAACACCGGCCTCTGTGAAGGAAACCGTCTGGACATGGATGGCCTGTGGCCATTGTCAAACAATCTAGACACCCGTGCAGCAAGCTGGGGGCTCTGACACCGACCAGCTCAGTGACCAAGGGGGAGGCTTATAACCATTCTGGGCTTCAGTTTCATCTTCTGAGAAATGAGGATAACAGTATGACCCCACCTCCTTCATAGGGTTCTTGTGAAAATCAGAGAAACCATAAGATTGCCTGAGACCAGAAGAAATCTGAAAATGCTGCAGAAACCTATGAGTAATATCAGGATCTTCTCTTTTAAATTGAAAAATAATGCTTTTTATTTGTCATTCTTCTCTTCAAAAAGCATTATTTTCTTAACAGAAACAGACACTTTTCACAGACCTCTGGGAGGAAATAATTGAGGAGGCGAGCAAACTTTTGCACAAGCTCTTTTTAATCTGGGAAGTAAGCTAATATACTGATTCCCTACAGCGTCACTGTGACTTTTAAAGGAAATGTTTTTGCGTGGTTTGTCGTGGCTTTTCTCATAGCTATTACAATGGAAGCCCTTCAGTTGAGGCACAGTGTCAGCTCAACAGCACAGAGATACCTGGGTGCAATCAGGTGGGGGGGAGGGGGGGGGTGCGGCGAGGCCCAGCACGCTATGGGTGTGGCTTTGGTTTGCCCTTACTGGATTTAATCCGGATTTTGGGTTTGCCGCCCACAGTACTCCCCTTGCGTCGTGCCTCTGAAAGACAAAAGCAATTAGAATGTTACACTAACACGATCTCATGATTTACTAAAGACTTTTTACTTTATAAAGCATTTTTTTGTAAATTACCTTTACCTGAGGGTACTTTTTCCATTGATCTTTAGAGAGAATGGAAGGGAGGAAGGGAGGGAGAGAGAGAAAGAGAAACACCGATGTGAAAGTAACACATCGAATGGTTGCCTCCCGCACACAGCCTGACCGGAACCAGGAATAGAACCTGCAACCCAGGTATGTGCCCTTGACTGGGAATCGAACCCATGACCCTCCAGTGCGTGGTGCCTTACACAGGAGCCAATTCCCCTAAACTTTTCAGAGCTTCCCATCCGTTGTCCTGGGAACAGACCACAGGTTGAAGATGACAGCAAAAGTAAAAAAACAGTCTCCAATGTTGGAGATATTGAGAACTGCCTGAGGGAATATTATAGCACTCATTAGAGGTAAGAAAATAAAGAACTGGGGGGTTGTGGGGGGGCAATGGGGAGATAAAGACACATATGTAATACCTTAATCAATAAAAAAAAGAAGAAGAAACAAAAGAAAGTACTAAATGCCAAGCCCTAGCTGGTTTGGCTCAGTGGATAGAGCATTGGTCTGTAGACTGAAGGGTCCCGGGTTCAATTCTAGTCAAGGGCACATGTCCAGGTTGCAGGCTCGATCTCCACTCAGGGGCGTGCAGGAGATAGCTGATCAATGATTCTCATTATTGATGTTTCTCTCTCTCTCTCCCTCTCCCTTCCTCTCTGCAATCAATAAAAATATATATATTTTTAAAACAACTAAATGCCTTTTCCATTTAGTATAATAAAGGAGATATTTTCATCACAGAAAACCCAACAAGTACAAAAAAATAAAGATAAAATTTCCCATAAAATTCCATCAACCAGAAATAATGTCTGTCAGTATTTGGGCATATTTACTTCTGGCCTTTTTTCTAGCTTTAAAAAATAGTATTGTATGCATGCATATTAGCATAACCAATGGACACAGACACTGGGGTAGTGGGGGCTTGCCTGGGGTGGGAATGGCTGTGTGTGTGGGGGGGGGATTAATCAGGGAAAAAGGAGACATATGTAAAACAATAAATAAATAAGTAAATAAATAAATAAAATAGTATTATAATTTATTTCTTGTGTTTGATATGTTAACACAAGAATTTGTCATGTCTTATAAACTTGTAAGCATCATTTTACTGTATTCAGGTATATTAATGCAGCATAACTTATTTAATTTTTCTTCCATAATTGGAGAGATTATTTCTATTTTTTTCCTAATATATATAATGATGCACTGAACATCTTTATGCATTAAGTTTTTTTCTGTATTTACGATGATTTCCTTAGATTCTCAAGTGAAATTATTAGGTCAAAGTATATGTTGCTTTTAAAGGCCTATCCACGTGTACTCTCAAGTTATTTTTGTCTGTCGACCGACAAGTTTTCTGTAAAACTAACTACTTTGCCCCTCTGACCAGCATTGTATTCTTTCGTTTTAAACAATCTTTGCCAGTTTTGTAAGTCAAAACTGTATCTCAAGTTAGTTTACTAGTCTACAATTGTTAGTCATTTCGTTTTCCTTTTTGTGCTTTCTGAATAAGAGAAGTTATGTAATTAAATGTATATGCAATCCTATGAGAAGTAGAAGATCAACACTAAATTTATTGATATTCTTCTAAAATATCTATGACCTTTGCCCTGGCCAGTGCTGCTCAATGGTTTGAGTGTTGGCTCACACACCAAGGGTCTCAGGTTGGATTCCCAGTTA